CACTGTTGAATAGCAAAGGCCTATGTACAGGAAAAATACACTGAGTATACCAAACATTAGGAACACCTTCCTAATATTGAGTTCCACATGGATGCTGGCCCATGTTGACTCCAATGCTTCCCACAGTTGTGTCAAGTTGTCTGGATGTCCTTTGGGTGGTGGACCATTCTTGATACACATGGGAAACTGTTGAGCGTGAAAAACCCAGCAACGTTGCAGTTCTTGACACAAACCGGTGCGCCTGGCACCTACTACCATACCCCGTTCAAAGCCACTTAAATATTGTGTCTTGCTCATTCACCCTCTGAATGGCACACATACACAATCCATGTCTCAATTGTCTCAATGCTTAAAAATCCTTATTTAACCTGTCTCCTCCCCTTCATCTAAACTGATTGAAGTGAATTTAACAAGTGACGTCAATAAGCGATCATAGCTTTCACCTGGATTCACCTGGTCAGTCTGTCATGGAAAGAGCAGGTGTTCTGTATGTTTTGTACACTCAGTGTATGTGGTTACATCATGGCCACTATACCATCACAGAAAATATATGACACAGACATACTGTAAATTCATAGAGTATAAAACTAGTGCTCTTGTAGTTGCCAAAATATGTGAGATGGCATGTGAACATGACATTTCATTGAAATGAAAAAGGGGCTATAAAATACTATTGTGGTGCATTTTTCAATCTTGTTCTATAACTACTGTGCCGTAATGTGACCCTGGTTAATTGTGATACATTTCCTTTTTATTCGAAGTGCCAGGATATCCCTTGCTCTCCTTTTGTTATCCACTACACTGCTACATTCAGACCTGTTGTTGCGCATGCTTTCACTGTCATTCTACTTTTAAAAATAAGTATCTTGTTTAGAAAGGAAGAGCCATGAGTGTTCCTCCATTTTGGCAGCAGGCGGGTACTCTCTTCCTCTGTTAGTTGATGGTGTGTGCCCCCCGGTCACCCGCTCTGGCCTTCTTCAGGCCCTATTGATTTTGCTCTGTTGTTTCCTGTCAAATGTCCTCTTGAAGATGTCCGTTTTAGCCCACTGTTTGGCCACTGTGCTGTGCTTCAGGTGGAGTTCTCAAGGGAAGGTGTCACCCAATTGTTCCCAGATTGACTCTTTGTTTGGTCTGTTTGCTGGAACTGTAGGTACACTTTCCTCATGGTCCCAACCCTCCGATGTTTGCAGATCTGTAAGGTGGACGCCATATGGTGGAAGCTACGCCAGTACACTGCTTATACCTATCCAGACCCTTCGGACCTTCAAACATTGAGGTGTTAGGTAGGCCAATGGGGAAGAAAATGAAGCGAATTGGGACAGGCTGTTAATTAGCCTCACGCACCAGACTCATAGGTTCGCTTCGTAAGTCACAGCAGCTGTTGAAAGAGACTATGGGAGCCTGAACAAGGACCGGGCGGACACATTTCACCCTCTCGGTCGTTCCCCTACTTGACTGCATGGGATCTCTCCAATGGTTGTTCTGCTGATAAAATGGCCAGAGCATGCTGTCCATCTGGTTAGCTGCTAAGCTGGCTTTCACAATATTTTGCAAACTTGGCATCCCCTCTTGTCTCCCTGCCTCTGAATTATTGCTCAAGGTTTTTGTTGTTGAAGTAATACTTATTTTGAGGCCAAGGAGCCCATAGGCCCCTCTCAACTCCATTGGTTCCATTGAGATTAGCTGATTGCTAATGATGTCCACTCTCCCTACAATGGTTACCTCAAAGTCAGCTAATTTCCCAATGTGATGAATTGGACTAACATGTTGATGCCTGACTGTAGTTTACAATCCACCTTGGATACGTTGTTGGATGACCTTGAACCTTTGGGGGTCTCTCAGGGTTGAGCGTTGGGCCCGTGGTGGAGTGCTCATGTGTTGATCAGTGTGTCATGGTTCAGGTCCCATGAGCCCAGCTGACAGATCTGTTGAGTAAGATTTACGACGGACTTCCTGTGCCGCTGAAATGATTCACCAGTCATGCTCTAGCTGCCTTTCCTGTTGGTCAGGGCTTTCTCCAGTAAAACTAAAGTTCAGATCGTGTTTGGAAGTAACCGCAATGTCTCCTTTTCTGTCTGTTGGTAAAAAAAGACTTGTCCACTTTCACCTCGAAATACCAGTGTCTTCATCGGGCCATGTTAACTCAACATGTTGACTCACCAATCCCTGAAGGGCAGTATTTTCTGTACTTCTTTAAGTTTTTATTGTCTTGGCCAAACACAGAGAGGCAGAAACAGCAAATTAATGAAGAAGTGGTCCCATTTGCAGGACTTCAGATGAGAGCAAAGGTCCCGTCAAGGAAGTACAAAGACTTCCTAGATAAATGACTGCCATATTTTCAAACACTGATGAGAAACCATACCAAACTGTCCATTAGCCTCATTAAGCTCCATGTTCAACACACTTTACTGTGGCTATAGCTCTCATCATACAGCCTCCTAGCCTGAAACTATCCCTGACATGGTAGTTTTTGTTTCAGTGTCTTTAACTCGACTGGATGCATGGAAACTTAGCTGAGGCCAAAGAAAGATCTCACAATGGAAAGTTGGGTTGCACGTTTCATCTTTTGTGCCTGGAGATTGATGATATATGAGATTGATGTTGTTCTACACTCCTGCGTTGTGTGCTGTGCGGCAGGGATGCACTCCGCAGCATTGTGGGGGTTGATGATGGGGGAGGGGAGGGAGGGGAGCTCATAGAGGCATGATAAGACACCGATAATGAGTTCATGGCAGATGGAGAAGACTCAGCCAACCAAGCCGTTGACCGTTCACAAACACACACGTGCACAGATGCATAGCACATGTTTTAAGACACACTCACACACAGATTCTTGAACAGATACAATTATATGCGCGCACACACACACACACTCAAAAGCAAACACTCAAATCTATATGCATGAAGATCAACACATACACACCTCGATCTCATAATCTCATATTTCTTTAACCAGTGGAGGGAGGGTGATTCAACTGTGGTGGCTATATGTTCACGTTGTGAGACCAGACAGACCAGACTGACTGACATCTTTGTAATACTGACAATAGAGGAAATAAAGCTATTCTGCTCACATCGTGGGCAGACGCAAAATGCAGTAATGGAAAAAATATATATGTTTCATCATACCCTGATGAAGACAGCTTGTCTGTCGAAACGTTGGTTATTAGGATATTAAATTATTGCATCTGAGCTGTGTGTGCGGCTTTCCTTTTCTTTTTCATCATGCACAATCGTCATTTTTAGCTACAACTGTTAATTCTGTACGTTACCTAACGAAGACAGTATCGAGTGAGCTTGCTTCACTGGGCTATATGAGGGACAGGGGTCGAGCTGTGGTCACTTTTCCTCAGCTCTCTGAGTCGGGTTAATGCTTCAGCTTAGGAGGTGATAGATGGTGTTGAGGGTGGGGTCTGTTGCCTTGTGCTTTTCAATGGGTTTCACATGGCCTATTGTTGTGGACAAGCAGCAATGTTTACTCCTGTTTAAAACCTCTTATATGTAAAGTCCCCTGTTTTGGGGACCTGTGTGGTTCTGGTACCGGTTCCAACCGACATTTAAGCTTATAAATCGATATGTGGAACCCATAGATCGAAATGTCTTGGATTGAGTAGTAGCCCTGACTCTCATGGACACAGAAATAATATAATATAATAAATAATATGCCATTTAGCAGACGCTTTTATCCAAAGCGACTTACAGTCATGTGCGCATACAGAAGTATGTCTCCTCTGCCTGTGTGAAGCAGAATGTGAAATCTGACACCACTTGAAGCTGGGATGTCCCTCCTAACATTTCATTCGCTCCTCCGACTGTCCATCAACTCCTGGCTGAACCATGTGTCACAGCCACTAACAAGGCATATGCCTGGAATCCTTACACTGTAACGCAGCAGGAGATAATGGTAGCATCACGGTAGCACATTCAGAGATCGATTTATAGCCAGTAATCTAAAACCATTCATAGATTTTAAACAAGAAAACACTTTCTGTTTGTCATAGATGGACTAGATTAATATGAGATTAAACGAGTTTAGGAAGCCAAGCTAGAGCTCTGTGACGTTCATAGCGATGGGGGCAGGCATTTTGATCAACACAGACCTTTAGAAAATATGCACATTTTCTCTAACACTAAATATACAAATATGTATTTTACAGTAATAAGGAAGGTGACATATTATAGTTAGTCATTTTATAAATTGATGATTCTATATTTAGAAAAAATTTAAGTAATTTAAAGCCTTATTCATACAGTTTTGTTGAATAGGAAATACATCATATAAAATATTTCATATTTTCATATTTTTTTGTCATATTTGTACTGTGTACTTGAGCTTGTGTCCTCAAAAGTGCCTACACCTCAGCAATGTATAACTATTTTTACCAGAAGGGTGAGATTTTAACCTTTCTTGGAGTATGCAGCATTACCAGTTATTGTTTATGGTCCTTTCATGATAAATAATTACATAGATTACATTTTTGATTAGAATGAGTTACATTTAAGATGTTTTAAACCACTTCTGTAATGATTGAAGTCACATTATTTGATTATGTAGAGATTTTTTATTTCAAAAGATTTAAATGTACACACCCAAGCCTGTTTTTTTTCACGTGCTTTGTGAAACACACAGAGTGGCACACAGACACGCACACACACACAAACTTTCTATGTTTATGTTATTCACAACCCTCCGATTTTCATTTTGAACCACCATGATTGAAAACAAAATAGTATTCTGCCACTTAAAACTGTGGGCTGTGCAATGACTGAGTAACAGGGGACAGACAATACTAATGTCCTAGACCATGTGGCTCCATTAGTGAGATAAAAGCGAGGTTGATAAATAGTCATTTTAGTCCCCTTCTTTGACTTTCATTAATTTACATTATCTAAAGGGGGACAAATGAAAAGGGGCCTGATTAGTGTGGAATGAGTTGGAAGAAAAGCTATTCATCTTTGTTAGCATCCTCCTGTGTTCTTTTGTGGGTTGTTTTTACAAGGAGGGGGAGCTGGGGGAGTCTTTCCCAGCCAGGGAGCAGAGCAGAGCGGCTGGACTGAAGGAGTGGTGGAGTGGTCAGCCGCGGTGCTCGCGGAGCGTCCCCGTCCCCCTTAAACGAGAGTTCAAGACTGTGAATGCCGGTGACTTCTGAATAACCTCCTGAGGTAGTGGGTGCTCACCCTTAAATGACCCCTCACTCTGAAAGGGGGGAGTCACAGGGGGTCTTCAGACCTTCCACTAGTAGTCAAACAACCTGTAGCATCCCCTTGGAATTTGAGGAATTTCCACTCCTCAATTAAGTAAATAGCATATTGGCCTACTAATTGACTTGATCTGATGAAATATTTTGCTGTGAAAAAAAAAAAAACTTTTTGCAGACACATCCTGATTTGGCATGCCTATAATGTACTAGATTTTATTTGTAAATGGATATTATTTGTAAATTAAACAAAGAATGTTCTATTTTGGGAGAATCCTACTAGACACAAATGTAATTTCAACATCTAGTTTGATATAGATTTGGTTGAGTTGTAAACTAACCTGAATTCAATGTGGAATTTTAAAAAATCACCATGTTAGGTTAAAAGTAGGGTAACGAAATACGAAATACCCTTATGTTGATGGCTTTTTGCAAATCCAATCAGTTTTTTACATTGATTCAGTATCATGACATTGCTTTTTTTTTTTTATGACATGGAAACAACGTTGATTCAAGCAGTTTTTGCCTAGTGGGATCCCTGATTTCGTCACCCCCTCCGCTGGGCCCCTACGTGTGTGGTAGCCCAGTCAGGCAACAGTAAGAAGAGAACTCAGTCAAGACACGGACGGCGTTCAGAGATGCTTCCCTATGAACGCTAAACAAGAACATTCATCGTGGAGAGAAAAAACGTACAATAATAAAAACGTCCATACAGTTATGGATAATAATGACTCGTATCTACATCTAAGTAAGTATGTTTTTCCGTTTCTCTATAAAGTCTTGGGACGCGGGCGGTTTATCCTGCATAGGCTGCTCGTGCAGTTCTCTTGTGTTGTGTTTGTTTAGTTTCTCGCAATAATGTGGCGTTTGATAAACCGAATTCCCTCTGCACAGCCGACTTTACAAGGATGGCAATAAATCCCGCGTGGCAATGTTATCTATGTAGTTAACACTTGTCCCGCGCCTAATGTGTATTGATTGACAAGAAGGCAGTGCCAATGCTCAAGTCAGCTGATAGTGATTCTGCTCCTCAGTCAGGGTCAGGGGTTGGCACTTTAATTGCGGTTATGTAATTTATGGCCTTTCTAACCTCTTTATGGCCTCTTGTTAAACTGTTCGCTGCCTTCTTCTTATTTATGAGTCTGGCTTGGCAGAGAAGCGCTTATCCATTCGACAGACGTACATTCACTCACCTCACCGCTGTTCTCGAGGAAAGTTCGTCCAAGAAGAACTCATTGAGAGGGTAGGCCTATATGACTTTTTTTTCACTGCGAGCTCTACTTCTCTTTAGTAGGCAACTCTTAATTGGCTGAAATTGTTCTATAATTGAATCATCATCATTTTTTTTCAATCAAAGAACGACAATTAGGCCACACCACAAACCAGGAATAAGCAGTCCTGTGAACCCAAATACCTTTTCTATCTTTGTATTGGAAATGCATATGATCTATTCTATTCTATTCTATTCTATTACATTTCCATACAGCCTAGGCGATTGTATCATTTCCCTGTTCATATTTCGATTTTAGTGTAAAAGTATAGGTCATTACACTACTATAACACCAGCTATTGTCAATAAAAAATTTTTTTTTTTTAAACACACACAAAGTGTGACAGCAATTAATGTCGCTGAATCAGTTTAGGGGATTATTACCAGAACAAACATGAATCCATGCATACATGAAATGATACTGTTATAGAAAGGATTCTGAAGGACTCAAATCCATTATTTCCTCAGCATTTTATGTTTGTGTAATCACATGCTCATATTGCTACAGAGGACATTATCCCACATTGGCCCAGGAATCTGAGACATCTTGGTCTATTTTTACTTCTCTTTCTTTCTCTCTCTCTTTCTATTTCTCTCTCTTCTATCTCTCTAGGGTTTAGTTACGTGAACAAATGAGTGTTGGGCAAGTTCATCTGAATGGGTTCCTCTCCTCTGCAGCAGTGGACTTTGTTTTATTTGAACTTTGGCATGGTCTGACTTCTGCTCTGATCCCACTGGGCACAAACTGGTTAGATCAATGTTGTTTCCACGTCATAAAAAACAACAACATGTATGTGATGACATTGAATCAACATGGAAAACTGATTGGATTTGCAAAAAGTCATCAACATAAAGGAATTTTAACCTAAATCACATGACACGTTTCAAATTCTTGTTGATTTCACATTGAATTCACATTAGTAATTAAATCAAAAGTAAATCAAAACTAGATGTTGAAATGACGTCTGTGCCCAGTGGGGTGTGTGTATCAGTGAAGAGGAAAATATCTACTGTGTCTATCTCACTTTCTAGGTGCCTAAATAGAACAACCAAACTGGAAATGTGAAAGATATTTAGCAGCTCACAGTGGAAGTTGACTTAAAAAAAAAAAACTTTTAAAAGCAAAGCGTGAACTGATAGATGTATTTAATTGATTAAACAACTAGTAACACATGCTGCAATACACCAACGCAATGGCAGAACATAGATTAGTTGAGTAAGAGCCAGCCATATGACGCTATGGTCACGGCTGTGAGTGCCATGTTCTCTTCCTGCAGGAAGCAGTCAAAGAGAATGAGTGGCCAAGTCATTAGGGTTTTCACTGCCAAGGGTGATTAGGATGGCTGACTTGGGATCAGTCCTATTGACTATGGCCAGTGCTATCCGGGATCCTTGGGATGTCCCTACCCTAACCCTAACCCCTACCCTTGCCTAACCCTAAACTTAACCATTTTAAATTTCAACTTCAATGGGGTAGAGACGTCCCAAGGATCGCGGCTAGCACGGACCCTTGACAACACAAGCCTACTAACACTCTCGTCCACTGACTGAGCCTCTCAGATATGCGAGAGAACGGTTCGAGGCTATACGATTACTGACAAACTGCGTTCAGTAGCACCATTCATGCATTTCAAAGGGTTTGATGGTGTATTTAAGCTACTGTACATGTTATCTCATGCCAGGCTATGTGAGGATAACTTCACTATATTTAAGCAATAAGGCCTGAGGAGGTGCCTTATTGCTCTTATAAACTGGTTACCAATGTAATTAGAGCAGTAAAAAGAAATGTTTTGTCATACCCGTGGTATACAGTCTGATATACCACAGCTATCTGCCAATCAGCATTCAGGGCTCGAGCCACCCAGTTTATAAGCTACTTTATTTTCTCTCAGCCAAAATAGGACAATACTGTCGGTGTTGGAACAGCAGGACTAGAAGACAATGACCCATTTCAGCTGAGGCTTTTTGGAAATGAAAAGCGAGAGTTAATCTGATCTTTTTTATATATGGTACCATGCTGTGTTTTCGTTTGTCTGTAGACGGGGTAAGTCAACACGAGCAGCATCCTGGGTCTACAGACTCTCCACTGGTGTCAGCCAAAGATCAATGAACTTCAGTACACTAGTTGGCCTACTTTCAGTTCAGTCTCCATACTATAGTTTGACAGACTGGTTTCCCCCTGTCTGCAATCCATCAGGTAAATCAGCAACTCTAAACCTGCTAATAAAACTGCTAATAGACATGTATTTTTCATGTGTTATTACACCATTGACATAATTCTCAACGCTGACCATATTTGGTCATGAAAAGGTTGTTACGTAAATGTCTGTTTAAAAGTAACAAAAAAACTATGTTGTATTAAGATGACATTTAGACGCAGGTTTGGGAACAGATGTTGCTGTATTATATTAATCAGCAGTAGAACAAGAAGAAGATGTGAAAAATACTCAGATTCCTCAAATCCCCCCAAAAGTCTCTCTCTCTCTCTCTCTCTCTCTCTCTCTCTCTCTCTCTCTCTCTCTCTCTTCTCTATCTCTCTCTCTCTCTCTCTCTCTCTCTCTCTCTCTCTATCTCTCCTCTCTCTCTCTCTCTCATCTCTCTCTCTCTCTCTCTCTCTCCTCTCTCTCTCTCTCTCTCTCTCTCTCTCCTCTCTCTCTCTCTCTCTCTCTCTCTCGGCATTCAACAAGACAGCTATTAGTATGTAGCTTGGTACTTGTCAAGTGTGTGTGTGTGTGCGCATGTGTGTGAACATTCTGTAGTTGTGTGTGTTGTGTACCTGTCTGTGTATTTGTCTGTCTATGTCTTATGTGTGTCTGTATCTAATTTGATTACTCAGGACCCTCTATGTAGTTGTAGCTTCAGACCGCCCACAGTCGTCTCCGCTCAACTCCATTACAGTTTTTCTCAATTGCTAAAACACAATTTCTGAAACCTTGCTCCATTTCCTGAAAACATTCAACACAAAACCTCATCTTCAAGCACTATTTACAAAACCTCTGACTCCTCTCGCAAAATGAAACATTCGCCTCAAAACAGTTTTACCTGTGTTCAAAATCAAACACTGCTCTCAAATCATAAACAAAGTGATCAAAATGATATACATTCTCAAGCAGTCAGTAAACAATACACCGAAAAATAGAAAACACATTGTTCAAAACATACAGTTCTCAGGGAGAAGTACATTTTTAATCTCAAAACAAATTTCATATTTTTCCGTCATTGTCTTTTGATGAACGAAAACATGTTCTATCATAGTAGCTCAAAATTGATCAGAAATTACTACTCTGCTTTGCTCTTTGCAATTTTGTTTTTTGTTCTTCCTCCTCCTTGTACCCCTATTTTTACAGTACTGTACCCTGCATCTCACAAACTTGTCCTTTGTCTCTGTGATACTGTAATTCTTGTTCTTTGTTGATATGAACCTGCAACCAGTCCAAATCTATTGAGCAGTCAGTACTGTTAACAAATGGAAAGCACAATGTTCAGGGCCATACAATTTGTCCATTGTACAGTATACAGCCTACAATGCACTGTACTACAGTATACAATATTAAAAGGGACAAAAATCAAAGGAGTAAGTATGTGATCAATGTGCTTCTTCTTGTCTTTGGGCTGGGTCAGGCCAGAGCACTTCGTCGACATCACAAGCAATATTGTCCCTGACATGATTCCTCACCTATATCACCACAGGCTAAATCCATGGCTTGCAGCAGATTTATTCTGGTGTAGGGTTGTTCTATCTCCAAGAGGGGAAAAAATCCTCAATCGGATTCAGGAAAGGCGAGTATGGAGGGAGGTACAAGTTCATAAACTGCCCATTGATGTTAAACCATTCCCTTACTTGAGCAGCTTGGTGGAAACTGACATTGTCCCACACTATCACATAGGTGGGAATGGGATTCTCATTTAGCTCTTGACCCTGCTGCTCTTGAACCTGCTGCTCAAATAAAATATCTCTTAGATTGGCAATAAATCTTAGAAGGTGCTGGGTGTTATATGGCCCGAGTGTAACATGGTGATGTAGAACACCATGGTTGCTGATAGCAGCACAGATTGTGACATTGCCACCTCGTTGACCAGGGACTTCAACAATGGCCCGCTGTCCAATCATGTTTCGGCCTCTCCTTCTCCTCTTTGTTAGATTGAAGCCTGCTTCATCGACAAAGATTAACTCATGGGGTCTGTCCAAGGATTCCAAGTGAAATATTGTCTGTGTAGAAATACAATATACTGTATGTAGGATTTTGTAAGTCGTACAGAGACAGTGCTCTACTGTAGAGTACAATTAGGCCTACTGTATGCACTTCTGATTCACATATATTATATGTACTGAAGAGTAATGTCATTCACATAGTATGTGTTAGTACTGTAGACAATCTGGATTACAGTAAATGTTTCTGAATGTACACTTACTTGCACATACTGAGCTCGCAGTTCTTTCACCCTTGGTGAGTTGCGCTCAAAAGGTACTCTGTATACTTGTTTCATTCGCATCCTGTTACGATGGAGGACATGGTCAATTGTGGAAATGCTCACACTGTCGATTCCCTGGAAGTGTGTGTTGTCTTGTATCACTCGTTCCTGGATTTTTCTGATTCATATTGCATTATCTTGAAGGACCATGCCAGCTATAACGGCCTCTTGCTCCCGAGTGAATATAGCTGTCCTTCCACCTGCATGTGGCAGCCTTGCAATTCTACAAAAAGTAGTTGTGCAGTTACAAAACATATTCATGCAGTACAATACATACAGTGATTAACTTTACAAATGTCTATTGAAACAGCTGCATATAGTGTAGTACAGTAAATTTGCAATTACAAAAATACAGAAGTATACTGTACCTGTTCTCTTCTCTGAATGTCCTTACTATGGTGGACACAGAAAATCGGCTCAAATTGGGTTGCACTCTAAGTCCTGCTTCCCTCATTGTCAGTCCATGGACAAGAACATGGTCTATGACTGTTGCTCGAATTTCATCAGATATTTCCACTCTTTGTCTTCCTCTTCGTCCTCCTCTTCCTCTTTCTTGCCCTCCTCCTCCTCTTCTTCCTCGTCGCCCACCTCGCATACGCACTCGTCCTCGTCCTCTCACATTGTTTCTTCTATCCATTCTCAGACTTTCTCCTTCAACAACCTGTTTGCTCTCTGAACTGGCTTATATTAGTTGTGTCGCATCATTTGAAACAGGTTAAATCAATTTTGAGTGGTTGTGTTCAATCAATGACATATGTTCTCTATTTGTATTTGATTGTTGCCACTTGTGTTTACCAGTATGGATGACATGTGCATTAGAGTGCAGAATGTGTTTTGAGACTGAGAATGTGTTTAGAGTTTTGCTGAAAAGTCTAAGTGAGATCTGCAAATTGTGTTTTACCATGTGAAATGGTTTAAGGTATTGACAACAGACTGCATAATTAGCTAAATGAGTCCAGGCAACTGAGAACTTTGTTCAGCCAATGGGTTTTAGTGTTTTAGCAATTGAGAAAAACTGTAATGTGATGTACATCGTGGAGTTGAGAGAAACTTGGCTATGTCCAGATCAGATCCAACCTATAGGATCAATCTCAGGTCCCTGTCTGTCTTGTCATCATACCCTTATTGCTGCCATGCTCTCTGGTTTCAACCGCGCTTGTTGCCGTGTGCTACTCTTTTGTACCCGACTCATTGTGCTTCGATGCTATATCCATCATCCTCTATACACCGCTCTGTTCTTCATTCTGTCATTTTATTGTCATTTGTTCTGATTCTCTGTCTCTCTTTGTATGGACGAAACTCAGAAATAGCAGAGATAGAAATGGCGTCAGCATACAGGGCAGGCAGGCCCAGCCATTAGATAACATTTAGTCAGGGCCAGGCATGGTGCTCTGTGGTGTATCCTGGCAGGCTTGGGATTGTGAATCAGCTCCCTTATCTAATTGGTCATTTTTCTGCCCCAGTTGTAGTGGGCCCAGTCTGGGTAGCCAATGCTAGTGCTTCAATAGAATAGGAGTGCAGTGCAGCTCCACAGATAGAGAGGGGCTCGAGGTTGGCTTTACTCTCTATGTAAACTTCAGAACTTTGTAGTCTCTTGTAGGATTATTGGGGAATTTAATAGAATAGCCTATAGAGCATGTACATAAATAGTGATTCTATTTCTATACCATACAGTAACATACAGTAACTGCTTGTACATAACGTCTCAATGTCGATGTTTATCAGCTTGTTGTGAATTTGTTTTTGTTGCGTGAGTTCAATTGTGGTCAGAGATAGTGGCCAGTTTCTTAGAGACAAAGATCAGTGAAGGCACAGTATGGAAAAGCTTCTAGCCTTGGAGAAACTCCAGTTGTTTTCTGTACAGTAGCACCATGTTCTGGGTTCCTCCCCTGCCCAACAGCTCTATAGAGCTGCATTAATATACCATCTCCTCCAGCAGGACCATCCCAATATAATCCCCTTTAATCCTGCAACAACTGGCACCCACCCCCCCCACCCCCCTCTACGCAATACTCGCACACACACATACACATGTGCGTAACACACACTTACGCAAGCACACATACACGTACACACTCCCTCTCTAAACTCCACAGACGGTGAGCCCCTTCCCTGCTACCCCCTGGCCACATGGCATATGACTGCGCCCCCCCCCCCCCCCCCCCCCCCCACCTCTGTTAATCAGTACATGAAATAGACACCAGGATGGAAATGTGAACCTCAGAGAGAGAGAGAGAGCGAGAGAGAGAGATCAGGGTTTCTATATACAGTAGGAACCCACTCAGAATGTGGTTAATGACTTTATTCATTGTATCTGATGTTACAAAATGCTTAGAAAACAGCATGCATGGAATGATGGTGAACATGTATGGTTAATTGAACGGCTGTTACCACATGCATTTGTAATGGTCTTATGTCACTGTCACATGTCCAAGGCTGTTTGTGTGAATACATAAACAGTTGAATGTAACATGTGTTGTGTCTTTTATCATGATGTTATAATGACAGTGTTGCTGAAAAGTCAAAACAGTTATACAAATCACCAATTTAGATTGGTATAACAGATGTAACAGAGTTGACATTAGTAAATGTAACAGAGTTTATATTTCTGAATGTAACAGAGTTGACATTTCTAAATGTAACAGAGTTGACATTTCTAAATGTAACAGAGTTGACATTTCTAAATGAAACAGAGTTGACATTTCTAAATGAAACAGAGTTGACATTTCTAAATGAAACAGAGTTGACATTTCTAAATGAAACAGAGTTGACATTTCTAAATGAAACAGAGTTGACATTTCTAAATGAAACAGAGTTGACATTTCTAAATTTACATTTTAGTCATTTAGCAGACGCTCTTATCCAGAGCGACTTACAGTTAGTGAGTGCATACATTCTTTTTTAATTTTTCACACTGGCCCCCCGTGGGAATTGAACCCACAACCCTGGCGTTGCAAACGCCATGCTCTACCAACTGAGCTACATCCCTGCCGGCCATTCCCTCCCCATACCCTGGACGACACTGGGCCAATTGTGCGCCGCCCCATGGGTCTCCCGGTCGCGGCCGGCTACAACAGAGCCTGGATTCGGATATAAATGTAACCAAGTTGACATTTCTAAATGAAACAGAGTTGACATTTCTAAATGTAACAGAGTTGACATTTCTAAATGTAACAGAGTTGCATTATTAAAGAGTCAAACCACAATGTACTGTAAGTATTATGATAACAGTCAAATGGTGCAGTTTGGTGTGTAGCTATATGAGAGAGGTACTCTGTCTTGGTTACAGTACATTATGTATCATATGAGACAGAATATATACACTGAGTGTACAAAACATTAAGAACCCCTGCTCTTTCTATGGCATAGACTGAAAAGGTGAATCCAGGTGATCCCTTATAGATGTCACTTGTTAAATCCACTTCAATCAGTGTAGATGAAGGGGAGGAGACAGGTTAAAGAAGGATTTTTAAGCATTGAGACAATTGAGACATTGATTGTGTAAGTGTGCCATTGAGAGGGTGAATGGGCAAGACAAAACATTTAAGTGCCTTTGAACAGGGTATGGTAGTAGGTGCCAGGCACACCGGACACACAGTTTCCCGTGTGTATCAAGAATGGTCCACCACCCAAAGAACATCCAGCCAACTCAATATATAGAAGGTGTTCCTAATGTTTGGTATACTCAGTGTATAAAATGGTGTGTATAGACAGTACACCTGTACTGTCCACTTTCTGGATGATAGCGGGGTGAACAGGCTGTGGCTCGGGTGGCTGAGGTTCTTGATGATCTTCTTGGCCTTCCTGTGACACCGGGTGCTGTAGATGTCCTGGAGGGCAGGCACGGTGACCCCGGTGATGTGTTAGGCTGACCGCACCACCCTCTGGAGAGCCCTGCGGTTGCAGGCGGTGCAGTTGCCATACCAGGCAGTGATACATTTACATTTTAGTCATTTAGCAGACGCTCTTATCCAGAGCGACTTACAGTTTCATACTGATACAGCCCAACATAATGCTTCATCTGTAGAAGTTTGTGAGGTTCAAGAGTCGCTGTTGCGCCTTCTTCACCACGCTGTCGGTGTGGAGGGACCATTTCAGGTCCTCAGTGATGTGCATGCAGAGGAACTTGAAGCTTTTAACCCTCTCCACTGTGGCCCTGTCGATGTGAATGGGGCATGGTCTCTCTGCTGTCTCCTGAAGTCCACGATCAGCTCGTTCATTTTGTTGACGTTGAGGGAGAGGTTATTTTCTTGCCACCACTTCGCCATGGCTCTCACCTCCTCCCTGTAGGCTGTCTCGTTGTTGTTGGTAATCAGGCCTACCACTGCTGTGTCGTCAGCAAGCTTGATGATTGAGTTGGAGACATGCGTGGCCCCACAGTCATGGATGAACAGGGAGTATAGGAGGGGTCTGAGCACGCACCCTTGTGGGGCCCCAGTGTTGAGGATCAGCGTGGCGGAGGTGTTGTTGCCTACCTTCACCATCTGGGGTCGGCCCATCAGGAAGTCTAGGACTCAGTTGCACAGGGTGGGGTTCAGACCCAGGGCCCTGAGCTTAGTGATGAGCTTGGAGGGCACTATGGTGTTGAAGGCTGAGCTGTAGTCGATGAACAGCATTCTTACATAGGTATTTATCTTGTCCATGTGGGATAGGGAAGTGTGCAGTGCAATGGCGATTGCGTTGTCCGTGGATCTGTTGGGGCAGTATGCAACCTGTAGTGGGTCTAGGGTGACAGGTAAGATGGAGGTGATATGGTCCTTAACTAGCCTCTCAAAGCACTTCATGATGACAGAAGTGAGTGCTATTGGGCGATAGTCATTTAGTTCAGTTACCTTCACTTTCTTGGGTACAGGAACAATGGTGGACATCATAAAGCAAGTGGGGACAACAGACTGGGATAGGGAGAGATTGAATATGTCCCTAAACACTCCAGCCAGCTGGTCTGCACATGCTCTGAGGACGCAGCTTGGGATGCCGTCTGGGCCGGCAGCCTTGCGAGGGTTAACACTCTTAAATGCCTTACTCACGTCGGCCACGGAGAACGAGAGCCCACAGTCATCGTGAGCGGAGGGGGCCCACGTCGGCAGCTCAATGTTGTTTTCCTCAGTGGGCAAAGAAGGGGTTTAGCTTGTCCGGGAGCGAGGCGTTGGTGTCCGCTGGATTTCCCTTTTTAATCCATGATTGTCTGGAGTCCCTGCCACATACGTCTTGTGTCTGAGCCGTTGACTCCATTTTGTCCCTGTACTGGGGTTTGCCTCTTTGATTGCCTTACGGAGTTCATAGCTGGTCGTTGTTAAATGTGGTGGTTCGCGCTTTTCAGTTTTGTGGGCGAATGCTGCCATCTATCCACGGTTTGTGGTTTGGATAAGTTCTAATCGTCACAATGGGAACAACATCCTCTAGCACTTCCTGATGTCAGTGTATACGTCAACCCGAAACATTTCCCAGTCCGCGTGATCAAAACAATCTTGAAGCATAGATTCCGATTGGTCAGACCAACATTGAACAATCATCTTGGAAATAGATGTCCTCTGCCATAGGAATCGATACAGTGTGATTTACTGATAAGTGAACAAGGAAAAAGTGCCAACTCTGCATATCTGGCTTAGTGCACGCATCCACAGTGGTGGAAAAAGTACCCAATTGTCATACTTGAGTAAAAGTAAAGATACCTTAATAGAAAATGACTCAAGTAAAAGTGAAAGTCACCCAGTAAAATTCTACATGAGTAAAAGTCTAAAAGTATTTGGTTTTAAATATACTTAAGTATCAAAACTAAATGTAATTGCTCAAATATACTTAGTAAGTAAAAGTATAAATCATTTAAAATTCCTAATATTAAGCAAACCAGACGGCGCCATTTTATTTTTTAATTTTTTATTTACGGATAGCCAGGGGCACGCTCCAACACTCAGACATCATTTACAAATGAAGCATGTGTTTAGTGAGTCCGCCAGATCAGAGACAGTAGGGATGACCAGGGATGTTCTCTTGATAAGTGTGTGAATTAGACAATTTTCCTGTCCCGTTAAGCATTAAAAATGTAATGAGTACTTTTGGGTGTCAGGAAAAATGTATTGAATAAAAATGTTCTTTAGGAATGTAGTGGAGTAAAAGTAAAAGTTGTCAAAAATATAAATAGTCAAATAAAGTACAGATACTCCAAAAAACTACTTAAGTAGTACTTTCAAATATTTTTACTTAAGTACTTTACACCACTGTGCATCCATTCACCAGTGGTCCCAAGCTCTTACGAATACAGTATATCAGTAGTTGAATCTATATAACCATTAGTAACCATTAGCAAAGTTACTGTATCTTCCCATGTAATACTGAAGTGTTTTACCAATGAATGTGAAGCTTTGAGTTGGACTGAATGGACTCTCTATATCACTTCACTCTCCTCTCATACTTAAGCCAATCAAGTTAATGATGTCTGCTCGGCGCATCTTTTGTCATTTCAACAGGAAAAAGGAACAAGTCTGCAAGAGAGAAGGGACATCTTTAATGAAAAAGTAATCCAATCCCCCACTGGGTATTTGAGAGAGCCCACCCGACAGACAGGATAGAATTCTCTCCTTTTCTAGGCCAAATCCCTTTAGACATATGGAACAGCGATAGAGACTGCACGTGTGAATGTATGTGTGTGTGTGTGTGTTGGTCATGTGAAGAGCAACTGGGAAGTGTTTCCTCCAGTGCCTCAGCATGCTGCACGCTCTCGTGTAGACAAGCCCCTACTCAACAGCTTCCAGCCCACTACCTCTAAAATACACCCCATCCCTTCCCTACACACACACACACACACACACACGCACACACACACACACACACACACACACACACGGACGGGCGGTAAATAACCAGGTTGGAGATGCTTACAGGGGCTAATAGGATTATACGGTCCCTGATTGATCAGACATCATCTTCATTTAGACAGGAATGAGTGGGCTCTGTCTCCACACACCAGGCCAAGGCTTTTCTAGGATCAGTTTTGGCTCTCCGATCATAATGAATACGACAGGGGAGACCTGATCCTAGATCAGCACTCCTACTGAGAGGCTTTGTGAATATCCCTTGACCAGACCAGGCCAGAAGGCTACAGGCCTGCTTTTTACATGATTAAGCTAAGGACCTCACTGATAAAAATGATTGATTATGATGATACAAAAGTCAGTGAAAAATCATTTGAAAACACTTCAAAACCACTTAACCCAGATGATGTTTGTATGGTGCCATACTCAAGTACATGCTTATGTGTATGTGTGTGTTGCTCAAATATGCCTATTAATGTGTGTGTACGTGTTTGTACGTGTGTGGGGCTCTTTCCTGTTGGAATTTGACATTTAGCAGGCATTAATATCACAGGAGGAGCTGTGCCAAGTGAGAGAGAGTGTGTGTGTGTGTGTGCCACTCTACAGCTGCTTGTAACACACACACACACATGATCGGGGGCTGCCAGCCCACTGCCTGCGTTGGAAGGGTCAAGCCCCCTGCAGAACCTCAGAGGTATCGCCTGCAGACATGAGAATCATAGCAGGTGTCGGAGATTCCGGAGGAAAAGAGGAAAGCGACTTAATAGACATTAGCCAATCAGAGTTGGATATGTACGTAAACTACCAGCCCCTGATGCGCCTTCCTGACTTTGACAGTGAGTAACATAGATATTGTGGGAGCAAAGTTTTAGAACACCTACTCATTCAAGGGTTTTTCTTTATTTTTTACTATTTTCTACATTGTAGGATAATAGTGAAGACATCAAAACTATGAAATAACACATATGGAATCATGTAGTAACCAAAAAAGTGTTAAACAAATCAAAATATATTTTATATTTGAGATTCTTCAAATAGCCACCCTTTGCCTTGATGACAGCTTTGCACACTCTTGGCATTCTCTCAACCAGCTTCATTAGGTAGTCACCTGGAATGCATTTCAATTAACAGGTGTGCCTTCTTAAAAGTTAATTTGTGGAATTTCTTTCCTTCTTAATGCGTTTGAGCCAATCAGTTGGGTTGTGACAAGGTAGGGGGGGTATACAGAAGATAGCCCTGTTTGGTAAAATACCAAGTCCAAATTATGGCAAGAACAGCTCAAATAAGCAAAGAGAAACGACAGTCCATCATTACTTTATGACACGAAGGTCAGTCAATACGGACATTTTCAAGAACTTTGAAGGTTTCTTCAAGTGCAGTCGCAAAAACCATCAAGCGCTATGATGAAACTGGCTCTCATGAGGACAGCCACAGGAATGGAAGACCCAGAGTTACCTCTGCTGCAGAGGATAAATTTATTAGAGTTACCAGCCTCAGGAATTGCAGCCCAAATACATGCTTCACAGAGTTCAAGTAACAGACACATCTCAACTGTTCAGAGGGGACTATGTGAATCAGGCCTTCATGGTTGAATTGCTGCAAGGAAACCACTACTAAAGGACACCAATAAGACGAAGACTTGCTTGGGCCAAGAAACACGAGCAATGGACATTAGACCGGTGGAAATTTGTCCTTTGGTCCATATTTGAGATTTTTGGTTCCAACCGCCGTGTCTTTGTGAGACGCGGTGTGGGTGAACGGATGATCTCTGCATGTGTATTTCCCACCGTAAAGCATAGAGGAGGAGGTGTTATGGTGTGGGGGTGCTTTGCTGGTGACACTGTCTGTGATTTATTTAGAATTCAAGGCACACTTAACCAGCATGTCTACCACAGCATTCTGCAGCGATATGCCATCCCATCTGGTTTGGGCTTAGTGGGACTATCATTTGTTTTTCAACAGGACAATGACCCAACACACCTCCAGGCTGTGTAAGGGCTATTTGACCAAGAAAGAGAGTGATGGAGTGCTGCATCAGATGACCTGGCCTCCACAATCTCCCAACCTCAACCAAATTGAGATGGTTACCAGCATATGTGGTAACTCCTTCAATACTGTTGTAAAAGCATTCCAGGTGTAGCTGGTTGAGAGAATGCCAAGAGTATGCAAAGCTGTCATCAAGGCAAAGGGTGGCTATTTGAAGAATCTCAAATCTCAAATATATTTTGATTTGTTTAAGACTTTTTTGGTTACTACATGATTCCATATGTGTTATTTCATAGTTTTGATGTCTTCACTATTATTCTACAATGTAGAAAATAGTAAGAATAAAGAAAAACCCTTGAATGAGTAGGTGTTCTAAAACTTGTGACTGGTAGTGTAGTTCAGGGTTATATATACTTTGACTTGGTAGGCACTGACTGTATGCTATGTACAGTACCTAATACATTAATTAAATGAAGTATGTGGGCATGTATTTGTTGGCATAGAATGGCTGACTGACATGATATAGCACTCACTGTGATCTTTGCTGAACACGAGGTGCTGGATTCTGTTTTCAACAAAAATGGAAAGCTGTGAGTTGGTGTCTTTTGACCTTTGTGACACAGTAGGCAGTTGGTGAAAGGGTGTGTGTGATCAGAAGTACACACACACACATACACACATTTATTTTCTAGATTCTGTTCAACCTGTCTAAATATACATTGGTGTTTCCTGCGTCTGGTTTGGCAGAGAAACTGCTATATCTACAGCTGTTACTACACAATATGAGGAATAACCTTTGTCCGCCTTTAGCTTGTTTTAGACTTGCTACTTTTATAGATATAACTTTCTTATACTTGTGTGAGTGTGATGTTTATTGTAATGCGTGGAGTATGGTGTGAAGCATGTGTGGCTATGATCGTGTGTGTGTGTGTGTGTGGACATGTTTAACTATTCTTGTGGGGACCAGAAGTCCCCATAAGAATAGTAAACTAACAAACATTTTGTTAGTCCCCACAAGGTCAAATGCTATTTCTAGGGGGTTTAGGTTTAAGGTTAGAATTAGTGTTAGGGTTAGAATTAGGGTTAGTGTTAGGAGCTAGGGTTAGGTTTAGGGTTAGGTTTTTGGGTTCCAGTTAGGGTTATGGTTATGGTTAGGGTAAGAGTACGGGTTAGGGTTAGGTTTAGGGGTTAGGGAAAATAGTATTTTGAATAGGACTGAATTGTGTGTCCCCACAAGGTTAGCTGTACAATACTGTGTGTGTGTGTATGTGTGTGTGTGTGTGTGTGTGTGTGTGTGTGTGTGTGTGTGTGTGTGTGTGTGTGTGTGTGTGTGTGTGTGTGTGTGTGTGTGTGTGTGTGTGTGTGTGTGTGTGTGTGAAAGACTTTCTGTGTGCATGAAAATAGTCATTTAACACTGCCACACAGAATGTCCCAACCCCACTAACACATGCTAGTATCAGACTACTGTAGACTGGCGTACGAGCTCTTCCACTAGCTCTGCTGGTCTGGCTGACCTATCCGACTCTGTTCTGTGTAACATGAGAGAGATCCCTGTACCCAGGACTGATTACGGCGACCCTGAAACCATGCCCATGCAAATGCCACCCCCCATTAACCCTGTGACACACAGCTCTACCCAACAGCCCAACCTTAAATTGTTGGGGCCTGAAATGTCAACCTGTCATTCTATATTCCAGACAGAAAGAAGACCCTGGCCCCAATACAATGTACATACAGTTGAAGTCGGAGGTTTACATACACCTTAGCCAAATACATTTAAACTCAGTTTTTCACAATTCCTGACATTTAATCCTAGTAAAAATTCCCTGTTTTAGGTCAGTTAGGATCACCACTTTATTTTAAGGACTTTTATTTATTTCATCACATTCCCAGTGGGTCAGACGTTTACATACACTCAATTAGTATTTGCTAGTATTGCCTTTAAATTGTTTAACTTGGGTCAAATGTTTCAGGTAGCCTTCCACAAGCTTCCCACATTAAGTTGGGTGAATTTTGGCCCATTCCACCTGACAGAGCTGGTGTAACTGAGTCAGGTTTGTAGGCCTCCTTGCTCGCACACGCTTTTTCAGTTCTGCCCACACATTTTCTACAGGTTTGGGGTCAGGGCTTTGTGATGGCCACTCCAATACCTTGACTGTTGTCGTCCTTAAGCCATTTTGCAAGTATGCTTGGGGTCATTGTCCATTTGGAAGACCCATTTTAACTTCCTGACTGATGTCTTGAGATGTTGCTTCAATATATCCATATAATTTTCCTTCCTCATGATGCCATCTATTTTGTGAAGTGCACCAGTCCCTCCTGCTGTAAAGCACCCCCACAGTATGATGCTGCCACCCCCGTGCTTCATGGTTGGGATGCTGTTCTTTGGCATGCAAGAACCCCCTTTTTCTTCCAAACATAACGATGGTCAAGGAAAGAGGCACTGAGTTTGAAGGTAGGCCTTGAAATACAGCCACAGGTACACCTCCAATTGACTCAAATGATGTCAATTAGCCTATCAGAAGCTTCTAAAGCCATGACATCATTTTCTGGAATTTTCCAAGCTGTTTAAAGGCACGGTCAATTTAGTGTATGTAAACTTCTGACCCACTGGAATTGTGATACACTGAATTATAAGTGAAATAATCTGTCTGCAAACAATTGTTGGAAAAATGACGTGTCATGCACAAAGTAGATGCCCTAACCGACTTGCCAAAACTATAATTTGTTAACAAGACATTTGTGGAGTGGTTGAAAAACAAGTTTTAATGACTCCAACCTAAGTGTATGTAAACTTCCGACTTCAACTGTACATGTAAATAGATTTGATTGTTGATAAAGCCCTCTCTGTTGCATTATGTTTCTATTGGATTGGTGTTGTCATTATGGTTTTTTGATGACGTAGGTTTATAATGGGGGTTTTAGTCTGTTTGGTTTGCCTTCTTGCAGTATTAAAGTCCCACTTTCCTTATGTAGGCTAATGTTTGTCGTTATTTAGGCAAACATTAGTCCAACAGGCCAGAAAAGCTCTATGATGTTGCCCTAACATCCCTCTAGCGTCCTTGTAACATCCCCCTGACATTTCCTCATGTTGATGCATAATGTGAATGTGCAAGGCTCTTATGACCTTATTAAGCTCCTATGAATGATCAGATCAGTGTAGCCTGTCTCTGCACTGACCTTTTGGGCTATTCTGGTGATATATGGAAGTGCCTTATGCAGGTTTTCCCCATGCACTGACCCCCAGGCAACCAGCTATATCAGGCTACATCAGGTCCATCACAGTGCATTACCAGCTGAATTAGTGATAAGGTTAAATGGAGAGATGGACATTTTGGACCCCTGACTGTCACGTAACTACTCAAGCACCTTGTTTTGCTGTGAAAGGTTGCTGATGTGGGTCTAGTTAGGTCTAGTTGTTATTCTCTGGTCTGATTGCTCATCACACCATCTGTGAACCAGAACCAGGGGCTTTTGCTGTAGGGTGAGCAACTCAGATAGAAATATAATGTATAGAACAGTCATGAACATTTTATTGTCATATATTGTCATTTTATTGTCATATTATTGTCATGTTGTAAATTTCTAGCTGCAACATCTGAACGTTTCTCTCTATTGATCCCTATGAAAACGGTTATCCTCTTTGAGAACAATACAGTTTATATAGATCACGGTCGTATTCATTAGGCACCAACTACATGAACTGGTCCAATAAGAAATGCTTGTTTTCAGTTGTAGCAAGTTTTTATATGGTGTGCTCTAATGAATAAAACCCTGCTGTGTACCATTCTGTTATTTCAATGATTGCCGTGTCTCCTAACACCTTCATTCTCCTCTCTGATTGGCTGTTTTTTGCTCTGATTACAGGTTCTTCTGTGCAGGTCTCCCACCTGAGCTCCACCCCGTCTCAGTCCCTCAGCACCATGGTGGGGCCCCCTCACCACCCCCATCATCACCACCACCATCATCATCATCATCACCACCCCTCCGTCATCAGTGCCTCTGTCAACCCCGGGCAGCCCCTCCCGTCTCCCATGAGCACCCTGGGCTCGCCATTCAACGGGCAGGGCGGCTTGCCGTACTCCGTCATCACCTCATCCTCTCTGGGCTCCCCAGGTGTCTCCATCCCCCCTAATCCCGCCATGAGCTTCAGCACGCTCTCCAGCCCACAGGTAAGGGTCAATGTATTCACACACAGGCATGCAGACAGTGGTCACAGCCAGGGATCAGCCATTATTGACAACAACCCTGGAGAAATTAGGGTTAAGTGCCTTTCTCAAGGACACATTGACAGATTTTTCACCTAGTCGGCTCGGGGAATAGAACCAGTGACCTTCCGGTTACTGGACCAACACGCTTAACCGCTAGGCTACCTGCCACCCAGACACTTATGCATGCACGCGCATAAGTGGTTAAGGGCTGTAAGTAAGCATTTCACTGTAATGTCTGCACCTGTTGTATTCGGCGCATGTGACCAATAAAATTTGATTTGATTTGATTTGATTTGATTTATACATACACACTTGATAAACACGCACACACAAAAAATATGAGAGGCCGTACAGTAGGCGAGTCGACCCACCAAAGTAGCTTAGGAACTACTGCATGGAATACATTGTTATCACTCATATGAGTCTCTCGATGCCCTAGCCTTGCATGCCAAGCTTCGAGGCTCTGTCTCAAACCCATGCCAATTGAAGGAGACTACTCTTCACCCAGCTGACTAGCCTTTCCTGGACTGTTATATTTCTAACGGTTTCTCTCTCTCAGAGCAGATCCTACAGTAGTCTCAGACATTGTATCTTAGTGCTCACTCTGCATCCTTCTAACACAGTGGTCACCAACCTTATCTGAGTCAAGATCACTTTCTGAGTCAAAATGCAAGCCGAGATTGACCGCTCAGATTTGTTTTTAACATGACTTAAAAAATGTAAGCCAATGCAACATTAACCTATTAAAAACAGTACTGTAGCAATGAGGTGTATGTAGTAGGCTACAGTCCCAGTACATTATCACCGCATATTGGCTTTGCTTTAATTGCCCTGCCAATGCATTGTTGTTCAGACAATTTTTTAAAATATTATATTAAACGATTTAAGGTGGGCTATATGATCACACCGGTAATAGATCAGTTGTTGTATTACGTGAGGCACAGCTGTGTTAACATAAAAATAAAAAGCGAATTATTAAAATGTATTTTACTGGGCTGATGGTGCCTGCATCTGATGGTCAGTTGCAGCGGAGAGAGAGCGCAGCAGACTGAGGGTCTGCCTCCTAACGTCCCTCTGCTCTCCCTTTCCTCCACTGACACTGGCCAAAAAGGGACACCGTCTTCCAGCTGATAGTGAAGCTCGAGTCGCACCGCATTATTTCTGCCTCATGCACAAATTAATGTTGTTACTCCTAGGAACAGAGAAAGTGAAATATTCCTCGATATTAAAGAAGACCCAAGCCGCTAATAATAACGCAAGCCTATCTATACACTTTTCTACTCATTCATTACAGCTGCAGTGCTGGTTGTAGCGTGAGTGGAAGTAGGAAGAATGTGCATTTTAATAGCCTATAAAAGTGTTCAATATAAAGTGTTGACAGTGCTGAGTAAAACCTTAAACATGAACTCAATCATAAAAACAGCAGCTCTTTGCTGTATTCGTTGACAGTCTCTCTAGTCATGGTTGAAACATTTTTGAAATCTCACAGTATTAACTTTGCTTTAGCTTTCTTTTATACCTGCTACGTTACTGCAGACCCGGTAATTTGAGACATCCGATTGGCCAGTGGTAGGCCTAGGCACTTTAATTTCTCTCCGGGCCCACCAGGAAAGCAGAGTTTGTACCTTCAGACACATGAAATTGTTCTAAATCGGAATACTTTGCCTACCAGGCGTGCAGGGCAGCTGAATCAGGTGCACCTACCTCCAACAGCGCGAGACAAATAAATAAATAGTTGGGTTTTATACAAAAATGTTTGGGATCAACTAGGAATGCCTTGGATATCAACCAGTTGGTTGGTGACCTTGGATATCGACCAGTTGGTTGGTGACCACTGTTCTAACAGAACCTAGAAGGCTAGCCTGACCCTACCCTTAGTGGTGTCGCCAACAACCGGATGTATCCGGTTTTCAGGGGAAATTAAAAAACCCTGAGACACAACTTCCGCTTTTGGATGTTAACAAGGCAACACTCGATCTTAACATCTCCTCCACATTTACTGGATTGGTTGACCAGTGCAGAAGAAAACCTCCCCTGACTGTTTTTTTTCTCTCGTCGGGACCAGATAGGAAGAAACGCGTTTCTTTTAAGCCTGCTACATTAGGTTAGCCTGACCCAGACTCATTCATGTCCACAGAATACAACTGAATCAGGGCTACCACTGCCGTAGACATAGAACCTCATTCTATTCTGCTGCTCACTTCACTGGTCCTCACTCCATTAGTGAAACAACGCTTCCACTTACTCAGAATCCAAGTCCCAAATAGATAACAAATGGGGAAAATAGAGGCTTACTCTTGTCCACTTACTCTTGTGAATTTAAAAGTTAACATTTTATTCAGTTAGTTGAAAAAAAAAAACATTGACATTCTGTCCTGCATTAAGTAGAATCTAGAATGTCTCCTTTTCTGACCTTTTTTTTTGCCCAGTCCCTGCCTTTACCACTGGCTGGGTCTCTGCCTGCCCTAGAGGGGATGAGCCAATTGTATTTGGCTGTCCCACTCTGAGCTAACTGAGCTAAGCTAATGAGGCGTGATGACTAGTGAGTCAGAGGGAGATATCATTGACCCAGCCTGCTAAGCTAAGCTAAAGCCTTGGAGGCTAGCTACCTAGCAGAAAAGAGAACACAAACGGAAGTAATCTAATGACAGCTGTGCCAACAGGCTTCTGTAAGCAAATAGGGTCACATATGCAATAGTCAGATTCAGATCCATTTATTGCCACACAACCAATATGAGCTCCCTTTTGGTCTCAAAGAAGTAGACAGAATGTTTACATTTTAGTTCATTGCAATGCCCGGCACTTTCAATGAGTCAAATAACAGAGAAATGTGTATAGAAAGGTCAGTAGCATTAAGAGCACTGTGAATAATGTATAGGCTATATGAAGTATTCAACAAGGGCCCCATGGCTGATATGTGTGGAGTGAGAGATATGGGATGTGGTGTGTAGACTAACTATGTAGGTCATCTGTGTGAGTGAATGTGTGTGAGTGTATTGCCCGTGCATATGTTGCCTTTGTGTATGTGCGCGCGTTCATGTGAGTATGTGTGTCGACCCGGCCCTGTCCCCTTTTAGTCTACAGTACAGTACAGTAGAGTGCAGACACAGGAAGCTGTGTGACTACCCAAACACACTAGACCTAGGGTGGTCTCACTCCAAGGGCAATAGTCCCTTGACCTGTGTTTGTGAACACAGCATGCCTGTATAGTACAGCACATACTTACCCTCACTGTCAGGATAATGCGTTATTAGAAGGATGTTCTCATGACTTTGGAATCCACTGTGTGGTTCTTCATTATCCACTGTGTGGTTCAAATAGTATTTGTTCTATTTCTTATACTTTAGCTGTGCTTGATTGAGCTTATCTGGCACAATGGAACCAATGGAATAGTCCTTAAAGTGTAAACCACGCCCCTCTGGCACTCTAGACAGGCTCAATCAATCTCAAAGTATTTGAAAGAACACAAATACTTTATGGTCTGATAATGATTGGCAGGTAGCCTAGCGGTTAGAGCGTTGGGCCAGTAACCGAAAGGTTGCTAGTTTGAATCCCAGAGCCGACTAGGTGAAAAGGCAAGGCACTTAACCTTAATTGCTCCAGGGTCAGCATCAATAATGGCTGATCCCTGGCCGTGCCCCCACTCTCTGAGGGATATGCAAAAAACACATTTCCATTTCACACCACACACTTGTACATGTGTGAAACAGGACAAATATAAGTCACCCCTAATATACCTTTAGATGGCCCAGAGTAGCTTATAAAGTTTCCTTACAGAACAACTGAGCACGCCGATTGGCACGTGTGTTTTTCTGTTGCTCATTTGAAAAACGAGATTTCAGTCTTGGAGGTGTGTTTCCTGACCAATTCCGCGTTTGGTTAATGATGTTTGGCCCCCATGAGACACTGTAGACGCGGAAGCCGATTTCACTTCCTCAAAATCCCCAAAATGAATCTAAGATAACTCAAGAAATCTGTAATTAATTTTGACGTTTTTGCCGAGGATGTTTTAGTTGCGGGATTTTATATCTAACTAAGGTGCTTGGTGCAATATTTCTCAAGTAAAAAAATGCACGACGTGTTGTCTTATGTAAACAGTCGGAGCTGCTGAGCAGGTCTGCCTTACTGTCTATGCTATTGGATAGAGAGTAATCACCGCAGCTGTTCACCCCATTTAAGTGGACAAAGGGACATCGTCAAATCAAAACCCAACCTTCATTTACCCTTTGTAACACACAAATGTTCCAAACTCCGTTTTAGACGAGACCGAAATTACCCTATTTAGACTTTGTTGTCAATTTTGAGACTATAATAACTGTTTTTGACTCATATCGATACCACATAGGCCATTTTCAAAGGGATTAGTTGCTTTTTAAAGGCAGTCGCTCTTTAATGACCAACTACCTCCCTCTACTGCTCTCCTGTGGAACTGCATGTAACAGGCTTTATCAGTTCAATTGAGTGTATTCAGTTGAGTTCGATTAGAATTCGAACTGGTATCAGCAGTTATAATTTTGTGCCCTTCCTTGAGAACCTTGTGTCAATGTTGACTGTGGGTGTTTAATTAATGAGAGTAAACATTCAAAGTAAACTGCTACTTCCTCACCTAGAGGGAACAGGTCACATGACAAAGGAAAACACTTCCAATAAGGTTGTAAGGTGGGAGGGGGAGGCAGAAAGAACAAGGGAGGAGTGAATACAAATGCACTTTAGCACACCTGTGGGCTATTATGTTTGAATGGTGCACATTGATTGACACACACACGCATACACACATATACACTGAAGAAGGCACTGACTGTATAGCTAATGCATGGTTGAAATAAGTATGTTGTCATCGAAAGACTGACATGACATATCACTCACTGTGATCTACGCTGAACTCGGAAGTGCTGGGTTCTGTTTTCAACAAAAATTGAAAGCTGCGAGTCGGTGACCTTTGCCTTTTGTGATATAGTGGCCAGTTGGCGAAAGTGAGACACCCACACACACATCCCCCATTAACCCCCTCTTTCCTGTCTCTGTCCCCGCTCTCTGTAGATGAATTCTCTGAACAGTGTGAGCAGCAGTGAGGACATCAAGCCTCCTCCAGGACTAGCTGGACTGGGTCACATGAACAGCTATGGCTGCATGAGCCCAGGGTCCATGTCCAAGCACATATGTGCCATCTGTGGGGACCGATCCTCAGGTAAAACACCACAACAGGCCCCAGACTACACCATACTATACTGTAGCTGGTTACCAGACTAGACCATACTATACTGTAGCTGGTTACCAGACTAGACCATACTATACTGTAGCTGGTTACCAGACTAGACCATACTATATTGTAGCTGGTTACCAGACTAGACCATACTATACTGTAGCTGGTTACCAGACTAGACCATACTATACTGTAGCTGGTTACCAGACTAGACCATACTATACTGTAGCTGGTTACCAGACTAGACCATACTATATTGTAGCTGGTTACCAGACTAGACCATACTATACTGTAGCTGGTTACCAGACTAGACCATACTATACTGTAGCTGGTTACCAGACTAGACCATACTATACTGTAGCTGGTTACCAGACTAGACCATACTATACTGTAGCTGGTTACCAGACTAGACCATACTATACTGTAGCTGGTTACCAGACTAGACCATACTATACTGTAGCTGGTTACCAGACTAGACCATACTATACTGTAGCTGGTTACCAGACTAGACCATACTATACTGTAGCTGGTTACCAGACTAGACCATACTATATTGTAGCTGGTTACCAGACTAGACCATACTATACTGTAGCTGGTTACCAGACTAGACCATACTATACTGTAGCTGGTTACCAGACTAGACCATACTATACTATAGCTGGTTACCAGACTAGACCATACTATATTGTAGCTGGTTACCAGACTAGACCATACTATACTGTAGCTGGTTACCAGACTAGACCATACTATATTGTAGCTGGTTACCAGACTAGACCATACTATACTGTAGCTTGTTACCAGACTAGACCATACTATACTGTAGCTGGTTACCAGACTAGACCATACTATACTGTAGCTGGTTACCAGACTAGACCATACTATATTGTAGCTGGTTACCAGACTAGACCATACTATACTGTAGCTGGTTACCAGACTAGACCATACTATACTGTAGCTGGTTACCAGACTAGACCATACTATACTGTAGCTGGTTACCAGACTAGACCATACTATATTGTAGCTGGTTACCAGACTAGACCATACTATACTGTAGCTTGTTACCAGACTAGACCATACTATACTGTAGCTGGTTACCAGACTAGACCATACTATACTGTAGCTGGTTACCAGACTAGACCATACTATATTGTAGCTGGTTACCAGACTAGACCATACTATACTGTAGCTGGTTACCAGACTAGACCATACTATACTGTAGCTGGTTACCAGACTAGACCATACTATACTGTAGCTGGTTACCAGACTAGACCATACTATACTGTAGCTGGTTACCAGACTAGACCATACTATACTGTAGCTGGTTACCAGACTAGACCATACTATACTGTAGCTGGTTACCAGACTAGACCATACTATACTGTAGCTGGTTACCAGACTACACCATACTATACTGTAGCTGGTTACCAGACTAGACCATACAATACTATAGCTGGTTACCAGACTAGACCATACTATATTGTAGATGGTTACCAGACTAGACCATACTATACTGTAGCTGGTTACCAGACTAGACCATACTATATTGTAGCTGGTTACCAGACTAGACCATACTATACTGTAGCTGGTTACCAGACTAGACCATACTATATTGTAGCTGGTTACCAGACTAGACCATACTATACTGTAGCTGGTTACCAGACTAGACCATACTATACTGTAGCTGGTTACCAGACTAGACCATACTATACTGTAGCTGGTTACCAGACTAGACCATACTATACTGTAGCTGGTTACCAGACTAGACCATACTATATTGTAGCTGGTTACCAGACTAGACCATACTATACTGTAGCTGGTTACCAGACTAGACCATACTATACTGTAGCTGGTTACCAGACTAGACCATACTATACTGTAGCTGGTTACCAGACTAGACCATACTATACTGTAGCTGGTTACCAGACTATACCATACTATACTGTAGCTGGTTACCAGACTAGACCATACTATACTGTAGCTGGTTACCAGACTAGACCATACTATACTGTAACTGGGTACCAGAGTTTTTCCCTTGATAGGTTACATGATCAGGAAGAACTTCTGTCACTACTACTAGTATACCATATGCCCTTCATCAACATACCTACAGGATAACTAAGCCAAAACAACGTTTCCAAAGAAATGCTACATCATATTATATCCCCTCACTAACAGCATTAACAGAATGATTTCATCCAGAGAGATGGTAGCTCCTCGTCTAAGCATAACATCCACGCCAACACAGAATACCACCCCACAACATCAGTTCATATACAGTAGGAGGTGATCTGATTGATACATTATTGATATTCTATATATTCTATGTTCTTCCAGGGAAACACTACGGTGTGTACAGCTGTGAAGGCTGCAAGGGCTTCTTCAAGAGAACCATCAGGAAGGACCTCAGCTATACGTGTCGAGACAGCAAGCAGTGTCTGATCGACAAGCGCCAGCGCAACCGCTGCCAGTACTGCCGCTACCAGAAGTGTCTGGCCATGGGCATGAAGAGAGAAGGTGTGTGTGTCTGTCTGTGTGACTCCCCTGTGCGTATGTGCATGTGTGTTTCTCAATGAATGCATGCAGGTGTGTGTCTCTGTGTGTGTGTGTGTGTGTATGTGTGTGTGTGTGACTCCCCTGTGCGTACATGCATGTGTACATGCATGTGTGTTTCTCTATGCGTGCATGCAGGTGTGTGTATGTGTATGTGTGTGGACTGTATACTGTATTCTATTGTGTGTGTGTGTGTGTGTGTGTGTGTGTGTGTGTGTGTGTGACTCCCCTGTGTGTTCCTCTGTGCAGCGGTGCAGGAGGAGCGTCAGCGGGGCCGGGAGAAAAGTGATAACGAGGTGGAGTCCACCAGTAGTTTCAACGAGGACATGCCCGTTGAGAAGATACTGGATGCGGAGCTGGCTATCGAACCCAAGACTGAAGCCTACATGGAGGCCAGCGCAGGCAACTCTGTAAGCAAACCTCTGTCTGTCCATCCTTCTGTCCCTCTCTCTCTCTCTGTCAAATCATATTCATTTTTTCTGATTGCTTGAGGTCCCTCTACACGTCTATTTGTTCTATACTCAGTGTCCTCTTTCATCGCTGATTATTGAATATGCCATGTATGTCTCTGTCTGTCTGTCAGAAGAACGACCCGGTCACCAACATCTGCCAGGCAGCAGACAAGCAGCTGTTCACCCTGGTGGAGTGGGCCAAGAGGATCCCCCACTTCTCTGAGCTGCCCCTGGACGACCAGGTCATCTTATTACGAGCAGGTAGGCTCCAGCTACAGCACAACAGATCACCATGCTTGTTCACACACCATAGACACCTATTGATTAATCTACTGTATTGATATAAATATTTACTATGAGTTGTGGTGGTAGAACAACACAGTCTTTTTTTGCACCGAGCTGTTTCATTAACACACACAGCCCAACAGAGACACACCCTTACCCCTCTGGACACATAGGTAGTTCTAGTCTCAACAACATAGTCACAATTCAAGTTAAACTCACCAGTTAACCACAGTGTATTTGTCTCTCTCTCTGTCAGGCTGGAATGAGCTGCTCATCGCCTCGTTCTCCCATCGCTCTGTGACAGTGAAGGATGGGATCCTGCTGGCCACGGGGCTCCACGTCCACCGCAGCAGCGCCCACAGTGCCGGGGTGGGCTCCATCTTTGACAGGTCAGAGAAAAATTATTTTGTGAACAGTATTACTCCTTGACATGTGTAATATGGATATCACAGTAATGCATAGCCTTCATTGTGGAGGACAGGCTCATAGTAATGGCTGGAACAAAATAAATGGAATGGTATCAAACACAGCAAACACGTTTCCATTTGTTCGATACCTTTCCATTCACTCCATTCCTGCCATAATAATGAGCCGTCCTCCCCTCAGCAGCCTCCTGTGGCCTACACTATAGCTTTCTCTTATGTAACACGGCTAGAAATGTAGCCCTGGTATTTCTACAGCAGTAGAAATGTCTATAATAATAGTTTGTTGAGCATCTATAGATGAACTCTCAAAATAAAGTATTACCGTGTCAATGTCTTTTCTTGCTGTGTTGTGGTCTCCAGGGTGCTGACGGAGCTGGTGTCTAAGATGAAAGACATGCAGATGGACAAGACTGAGCTGGGCTGCCTCAGAGCCATCGTCCTCTTCAACCCAGGTAACTACCATCATCATACAATAGAGGCGGCTCGTCCAGGGAGGAAGAGGAGGATGGTCATCCTCATTCATTTTAGCATTAAAAATTGTTGTCCAATTAGCTTATATTGTTTATCATTTCAAGTTTTTAACTCACCAGCCACCATATATTAGAATTTAGAAATACATTACAAATACATTTTAAGAAATATATTTCACATACTGTATACTGTGTGCACAAGAATAAGTTCCTGTCTATGAATGTTCTTTGCTTCCAGATGCCAAGGGCCTGTCTAATCCTACAGAGGTGGAGGCCCTGAGAGAGAAGGTCTACGCCTCACTGGAGTCCTACACTAAACACAGATATCCAGAGCAGCCTGGCAGGTCAGTCTCTCACAGTCACACTCTCCTTCAGTCTTTTACAATTTCATCTTATTTTGGGGCGGCATTCAATCCGTATTGTGGAAGTATCACAGAAGATCCACGCTAAAATGTGAGTGCAGTCTTTGCGAACGCGGGAACATTGCCTTTAAATTTAAATTGAGCTATAACATGGATCTTCCACGATACGGATTTAATCCAAACCCTAGTCTCGGTAAATTACACACTCATACACACTAATGTCCAGTCATTCAACAGTCTCATGTGTCTGACTCAAAGGCTTTTCCTACTGTATGACACTGCAGCTCTTTAAAAATATAACACTCTACCCTACCCATATAGGCTCTAATTTCCCCCATATTCCTTCTCCACTAAGTCTGATTTAAGGACGATAAGTCATAATTCATCTTTATGGTTTGCGTATGCCATTACACATCATGAAAAGGCTTTAAAATGACACCTCAGACAAGAGTAATCAACCCTACCTCCTCCCTCTTATCTCCTCTCTCCTGGTCAGATTTGCCAAGCTGTTGCTGCGTCTGCCTGCACTGCGCTCCATCGGCCTCAAGTGTCTGGAGCACCTATTCTTCTTCAAGCTGATAGGCGATACGCCCATAGACACCTTCCTTATGGAAATGCTCGAAGCGCCGCACCAGATCACATGACACAAGTCTTACCCATTGTAAATACCCCCTGAACCCAATTCCCAGATCCCCTACCCCGGAGTACAACTGCTATGAAGTCAAACTTTAGTTCTTAACTTGCATATATTGTACCAAGCACAATTAATAATGTGAAAATAAAAAGTTTATATTGGTATTTTAAGAAATGCAACACTGTCAAAGGTGAATTTTAAAGATTTTTTTTTTTTTGTAAAAAGAAGAGTATTAATTATCAGATCTAGCAACAACTGAATGCAACATGAAGTCTTATTTCATTCAATGATGAACGGTATGAAATACAATGTCACCAGAATAGAATATCTGTGCAAATAAAAAAGACAACTTTTAATGTAATAATTTGCTTCAAGTCTGGTCAATTCATTGTATCTCGCTCTCAACCTTTATTCTCAACCTCAATTAGATTTTTATTTAAATTTTGGCTACAAAACAGGACACTACTAAAATAACTCACATTCTATAAACATACAGTATGTAAATACAGTATGTGTAGGATGAGAGAAGAAACCTAGCAAAGCTTTTGAACAGAACCTCACCCAGTCAGTTTGTTATGCTATAAACTTGCAATAAACTCAATGGTATGTGGTAACATCATGTTCTGTGTCTTATTGTAATCTCCTTTGCATATGTGAAGTAACCTATAAAGAGAGAGCACAAGCAGCGTTGGAAAGCCTAAGTATGGGAAATGCGTGGAAATCCTAAACAGTAGTAAGACATGAAACCACAGTTGATTTTATAATGTCAGTGGACCAACCAACAGCTCTCCCACTTGCCATTCCTCCTTTTGTGTTGCGTTAGTAAAACTGTGAAATACTAGCTAATTATTCTCTTGAAATTAGAGACTGTAGTATCGAGTAAAAGTTGCTAGTCATTGCTGATAAACAAAGGAGTCTGCTCATACTGAACCTTGATCATAAGTTTATTCATATCACAAGCTTTCAGCATGAGTTACAGGTGTCAAGATCACCCGGAGAGCAACGTCCCAGATTGCAATGGCTGCTCTAACCTCTTCTTCGTCCAGCATATACTTATAAACAATGCAAAAATATGGGTTGCTCCCTCTGCTGTCCAATCACCTGTCTCCCCTGGGGCGTCACCCTACAAATGGCTACTTTTGAACTAAGATAAACATCCCCTCTGGTTCCATTAAGAAAGTCATAATCTTAATACACTACAAGACTTACCTCATAAAACGTCTAGGTTACACACAAAGTTGATGTGTGTCTCGAGTATTGCTCTTTTAAGTTACAAAATATGCAAATGGGTACGGTAGCTACATAATCTCTGCATAACACATTATATTTCATCCCAACAAGTCATTGCTCATCTCCATTGTAGAGTAGAGTATACTGTATGACACATTCATATGTACTATTTATTATAAGTGTCCATTCAAGTGTTTGAGCAAAAAGAGCAACTGAGGTCTGATTTTCATTCACTTATTCCAATACCAGCCATCTTTTACAGCAATGATACTCAAATTGGGCCAGGAGTTCTTCCTGACTATGTGACCTGACTAGGAAAAACTCTGGGCCCAAGTTATAGGCTATAATAATTTGGTGGGTGCTTATATTTGTCCCATATATTAATACACATGCGTGAATTGGAAATTAATTTTTTGCACCCTCAGAGTAGGGTCACAGCCATGGTCTGCCATTATCAACCGCTACCCTGGAACAATTAGGATTAAGTGCCTTGCTCAAGGGCACATTAACTGATTTTTCACCTTGTTGGCTCAGGGCTTCGAACTAGCAATAAAACAGATCAGCTTAAGTAGATCAGCTTAATATTGCAGATAGATTGTAACTTCCATCAATGTAATTGTCTGCATCACTTCCGATCCCCCATGTTTTTATACATATATACTCCCCTTTATTACATTTCAACCCTGCCATCCTTTCCCTACTTGGGGTAAATTAGTGAACAATAATGGCCAGGCCTTTACTTCCAGCCTATACTTACTATCTACACCTTATGGTCACATTCAATTTTACAAGAATTCAATTTTATTTGTTTTTGCTCCTGAACTTCTTCTACTCTCAACCTCTCCGATCATTTTCATGATGTCCATCCGGTTTGCTTCTATATGCCATATCTTTCTAACTGTGCTCTTTCCCAAAAGCTCCCAACATACAACCTATATACTTATTATGGACACAGTATGCTTACATTATTAGTTATCTTGTTATTATTTATTGTCATTTGTTATTAGTCCCATCCTTCAACTCCATTCAATACCTCCCATCTATCTTTTAACACCATCCATATAGGATTTCTATTTGCCATATATATTTCAACCGTACTGTTTCAACCATAACTAGCAACTTTTTGGTTGCTGGCCCAACGCTCTAACTGCTAGGCTATCTGTCGGCCTATATCTCAGTGCCCAGAGATTTAATATGGCCAGATCTCAAGGCCAAGAAAAACCCCTGGCCCTATCCATAGTACCTGGCTTGAGTTCCACACTAAATGATGGCGTACAGTATAGCAGATCATGGGTTAGTTTATAGGAACTCTGGGCGGATCAGACTGTAACCGGATCATTCTCGTCACCCACGGAGAGTCCAGTCCAGAGGCAGAGAGAGACAAAGGTCATGACTAGCTATGGAAGTCTTGCCAGCTAGTGTTCCTGTGGTCTGTAGGCTGGCAGTTGGGTAGTTACCAGCCTAATAAGCCCTCCAACACAGCTCCTACAAACCACCTTTTACAAGACTCTGAAATCAAGAACAAGAACATAATGTTCACAGAACTGAGAAAGAATCTGGGTTCATAGAGCAGGGAGTCGCCTCAGTCAGTCCCTTTGTAGGCATCAACCTTCTGTAACATTCAGCGTCTTCCATATTTTAACCTGCTGGCAGGTAGCCTAGTGGTTAAGAGCGTTGGGCCAGTACCCGAAGGGTCGCTAGTTTGAATCCCCGAGCCGACTAGGGGGAAAATCTGTCGGTGTGCCCTTGAGCAAGGCACTTAACCCTAATTGCTCCTGTAAGTCACTCTGGATAAGAACGTCTTGTAAATGTGGCGCTATACTTTTTTGATCTAATGAACTCATGTAAAATTCTGATGTAAGATTATTATTCAAAGAGGGTGTTCATGTGAAGTAAAGAGCATGTGTGTTTAAGAGTGCTCTTTGAAGCACTCACTTTTTTCATTCTTAAAACATATGGCCTCGGAGAGACGGTTTGAATAATACCTACATGTTCGTAGGAGGGGTAGAAGAAATTACCTTAGAACAGAACCAGGAGAGACTGTTCTTTCTTGAATGGTCTCTTTTGTTCCAACCACTCAAAATGTATGAACAGGTCCTGCCACCTCACAAAAAAACTAGATTTCCCCAAAAAAGCAGCAGTTAACACTTGTTTTTTAAAATCATGAATGGTAGTTAGACTAAGTGCTGTGTTAAGGTGCGCCTCATTGTTATTTTAGCAAGATGAAATCACTGGAAGATCTCAGGATATTCTACAAAGTAGGATCAATGAGTTAGCCAGGTAACTTTGATAAACAACCAGAAATAAATATTGATTTTCTGGTTCATTAAGAAGGCTAAACGTAGAGATGTGTTTTTGGTTGTTGAGTCATTTAGATCATGCCCATTTCAACCCCCCCCCCCCCCCCCCCCCCCCCACAAAAAAAAATATATTTAGGCAAATTAGCTTGCTAACACATTGAACCTGCTTTGTAGTATACCCCTCGTGTTGTACATAGACCTACTCTGAGAGAGATGAACGCCACAATAAAGGTTTGTTGAATGATATACAGAGACTTTGGAAAGTATTCAGACCTCTCGACTTTTTCCACATTTTGTTAGGTTACAGCCTTATTCTAAAATGTATTAAATAGGTTTTTTTTCCCTCATCAATCTACACACAACACCCCATAATGACAAAACAGGTTTTAAGAAAAAACGGAAAAATCACATGTACATAAGTATTCAGACCCTTTACTCAGTACTTTGTTGAATCACCTTTGGCAGCGATTACAGCCCCGAGTCTGCTTGTGTATGACGCTACAAGCTTGGCACACCTGTATTTGGGGAGTTTCTCCCATTCTTCTCTGCAGATCCTCTCAAGCTCTGTCAGCTTGGATGGGGAGCGTTGCTCCACAGCTATTTTCAGGTCTCTCCAGAGATATTCGATCAAGTTTAAGTCCGGGCTCTGGCTTTGCCACTCAAGGACATTCAGAGATGTGTCCCGAAGCCACTCCTGCGTTGTCTTGGCTGTGTGCTTAGGGTCGTTGGTCCTGAGAGCTCTGGAGTAGGTTTTCATCAAGGATCTCTCTGTACTTAGATCCGTTCATCTTTGCCTCGATTTTGACTTGTCCCTCATTCCCTGCCGCTGAAAAACATCCCCACGGCATGATTCTGCCACCACCATGCTTCACCGTAGGGATGGTGCCAGGTTTCCTCCAGACGTGACGCTTGGCATTCAGGCCAAAGAGTTCAATCTTGGTTTCATCAGACCAGAGAATCTTGTTTCTCATGGTCCGAGAGTTTTCAGGTGCCTTTTGGCAAACTCCAAGTTGGCTGTCATGTGCCTTTTACTGAGGAGTGGCTCCCGTTTGGCCACTACCATTAAGGCCTGATTGGTGGAGTGTTGCAGAGATGGTTGTCCTTCTGGAAGGTTCTCCCATCTCCACAGAGGAACTCTAGAGCTCTGTCAGAGTGACCATCGGGTTCTTGGTCACCTCCCTGACCAAGGCCCTTCTCCCCCGATTGCTCAGTTTGGCCGGGCTGCCAGCTCTAGGAAGAGTCTTGGTGGTTCCAAACGTCTTCCATTTATGATGGAGGCCACTGTGTTCTTGGTGACCTTCAATGCTGCAGAAATGTTTTGGTACCCTTCCCCAGATCTGTGCCTCAACACAATCCTGTCTCGGCGCTCTACGGACAATTCCCTCGACCTCATGTCATGGTTTTTGCTCTGACATGCACTGTCAACTATGGGACCTTATTAGACAGGTGTGTGCCTTTCCAAATTGCTGAGGATTTGTTTTTATTTAATCAATTTTAGAATAAGGCTGTAATGTACCAAACTTGGAAAAAGTCAAGGGGTCTGAATACTTTCCAAAGGCATTGTACATTCAAAACATTGCAGTTGCTACATTATCACTTGGGTCCGGAGATTTTCCTGACCACATGACCTGACAAGGGAAAATCTTTAAGAGCCCAAGTACTAGCCAGAGATAACCTATTATATTGGCACTATCCCAGTTATTCCTGGTTATAGATTAATTTGATTAGTTTATTCATGATTGACCATGTTCCACTAACTTACTGTAAGGAACACTACAGTCAAAGAATGTAGTTAAAATATCACATTTAAATAATCTGTTTTTTTTGTTTTGTAATACAGTACTATTATATTGGTTAGAAGTTTGGGCCCTGAGAGTGAAAGATTGACCATACACTGTGGTCCGACCACTTTTTTTAATTTATTTTTATTTCACCTTTATTTAACCAGGTAAGCCAGTTGAGAACAGGTTCTCATTTACAACTGCGACCTGGCCAAGATAAAGCAAAGCAGTGCAATAAAAACAACACAGAGTTACATATGGGGTAAAAAACATAAAGTCAAAAATACAACAGAAAATATATATACAGTGTGTGCAAATGTAGCAAGTTATGGAGGTAAGGCAATAAATAGGCTATAGTGCAGAATAATTACAATAGTATTAACACTGGAATGCTAGATGTGCAAGAGATTATGTGCAAATAGAGATACTGGGGTGCAAAAGAGCAAAATAAATAACAATATAGGGATGAGGTAGTTGGGTGGGCTAATTTCAGATGGGCTGTGTACAGGTGCAGTGATCGGTAAGGTGCTCTGACAACTGATGCTTAAAGTTATTGAGGGAGATAAGAGTCTCCAGCTTCAGAGATTTTTGCAATTCGTTCCAGTCATTGGCAGCAGAGAACTGGAAGGAATGGCGGCCAAAGGAGGTGTTGGCTTTGGGAATGACCAGTGAGATATACCTGCTGGAGCGCAGACTACGGGTGGGTGCTGCTATGGTGACCAATGAGCTAAGATAAGGCGGGGATTTGCCTAGCAGTGATTTATAGATGGCCTGGAGCCAGTGGGTTTGACGACGAACATGTAGTGAGGACCAGCCAACAAGAGCGTACAGGTCACAGTGGTGGGTAGTGTATGGGGCTTTGGAGACAAAACGGATTGGAACTGTGATATACTACATCCAATTTGCTGAGTAGAGTGTTGGAGGCTATTTTGTAAATGACATCGCCGAAGTCAAGGATCGGTAGGATAGTCAGTTTTACGAGGGCATGTTTGGCAGCATGAGTGAAGGAGGCTTTGTTGCGAAATAGGAAGCCGATTCTAGATTTAACTTTGGATTGGAGATTCTTTATGTGAGTCTGGAAGTTGAGTTTACAGTCTAACCAGACACCTAGGTATTTGTAGTTGTCCACATACTCTAGGTCAGACCCGTCGAGAGTGGTGATTCTAGTCGGGTGGGCGGGTGCCAGCAGCGTTCGATTGAAAAGCATGCATTTAGTTTTACTAGTGTTTAAGAGCAGTTGGAGGCTACTGAAGGATTGTTGTATGGCATTGAAGCTCGTTTGGAGGTTTGTTAACACAGTGTCCAATGAAGGGCCAGATGTATACAAAATGGTGTCGTCTGCGTAGAGGTGGATCTGAGAGTCACCAGCACCACATTGTGAATCACATGAGAACAATTCAACATTTTAACCATCTGAGGTTGTAAGGCAGACTTTAATAAAGATGATAAAAACCAATCAGTGTGTCGTTGTTTGAGTCTACACAGAGTTGCGGGAACAACCATGCAGGTCTGGTTAAAATAAAGAACATAGTGTTTTTTGGGGAACCTTGTAAAAGCAAGGTCGCCACCTCGCTGTGATGTCATCAGTGTCTATGCCCACAGATGCTCTTCCAGTTTCTTATTCCACGCCTGGCCTGGCCAGTTTAGTTCTACTTCCTGTGAGTGCGTAGGAGGACTCTGCATCATTTGTGGTTTTAATTGGGGCTGTATTTGGACTAATAAAAATGTCCTGGCCTAGCTGTCACTCCAAAACCAGCCCTATTCACACTATATAAAGCCTATAGGGAGTTAGGGAGAGCAAGGTGAGCTGACTGGAGTTGACTTGTGTGAAGGTGATTGGCTTTCTTTTAGGATATCTTTCTCTGTGTTTCAGGGACCTACCAAGCATGGCATTGAGAACGTTGATAATTAGTTATGGTTTGATCATTTGAATGTAACTTTGAAACACTCCTTTATGGATAAAACCAAAGAGGAAGATGCTTTTTCCAGTTCATCCTACTGAGTTGGACAAAAGGTATTTCATGGTCTTGTTTCTCTATTCTAGTTGAGACAAACGCATGATGACTGCATCATCGCTGTTGTCTGCCCTCGTGGTGGCGACCTGTGCTGCTCTTCTGCCATTCTCTGCTGCTCAAGGTAAGAACCCATTGTCTGGTACAGGGGACACATTATATGCTGAATATGTGACACTGTTAATGTCAACAGTTCTGTAAGTTGCTTTGGACAGTTTTTATAGTAGCATTAAATGTACAGTACTTGTTGTTTTTGAGCTAATCTCTCCCTATTCCTGTGGTTCCAACCTGCAGCCAGTTGCAGTGCTAGATGTGGTGAGCCGTTTGCTCGTGGCCAGCCCTGCCTGTGTGACGCCAGCTGCCTCGCTCATGACGAGTGCTGCAAGGACTTCGAGGCTCTCTGCACTTCCGGTAAGACTGATGCTATTACCATGTCATTACTATGTCATTATTTCAAAGTCATTAGGATGGTTATTCATCAAACAGTCTGTATATATGCATGAATGTAAACATGTGTTGATGTACCTGAAACTCACACTATGTGACAGGCCAAGTCATCCATCAATGGTGTAGTAGACAGGACCAAAGTCTGTGTGTTGGTGAATTTCAGGGTCTATTTCTTCTCATGCTGGCGATTCGTGCAGTGGTAGGTGTGGTGAATCGTTCAGACGAGGCAGGCTTTGTGAGTGTGACCCGGGCTGTGTCCACTACGACACCTGCTGCCGCGACTACCAGAACCACTGCGGTACGACCAACAGCTATTTTTATGAAGACTCATTACAACACTTCGTCATGATATCTGATAGTTAGTTCAACTTAACCAAGACAATACAACCAGTAATCAGTAATCCATTAAACCCATCTGTCCCACATAGAACATGTCTAAAGAACAATGCCTATGTAGTTAATGATTTATAGTGAGTTTAATAGAGTGATGGGTCGGACCATTTACTAATCATATACTAATCGTTTTTGAAAATATGTGCACTAATATCACCATATCAAACTTTCTTCCGTTTTAGATGCCACTACAATTCCAACACCAACCCAGAGGATCAAGCAGGATGCCAAGAAAAAGCCAACAGGTTCAGTTACTGTCTTTGTAGCAAAGTAACTGCATTGATCAACAGAGCTTGTCTACCCTGATCATAGGCCAAACTGTCTCAATGCTAGGTTAGAGTGTCATTTTAAACAGTATAAACTTTATCTCATTCAAATGAATTCTGTTTAGCGCCGGCCAAGAACAAATCCTCCAGCAAGACAGAACTGACGAGTCCCACATTTCCCAAGAAACCTTCAAACAGCAAGAGTGAGGAAGGCAGCCAAGGTACGTGTGTACCTGCCTGGTTGTGTGTTATAGGTGGGGCCCTGAGTTTTTCCTAAAAACTCAAGGCCTCAGTTATGTCTTTCCAAGGGCTGTGGGATAACACCCACGTTTGTAACGCCAGGGTTGTGGGTTCGATTCCCACGGGGGGCAAGTATGAAAAAATAAACAATAATAATAATAATAATAATAATAATGTATGCACTCACTAACTGTAAGTCACTCTGGATAAGAGCGTCTGCTAAATTACTAAAATGTAAATGTAAATATAAAGGTTTCAGAATCCTACAATAGGCTGAGGGATAATAGGCAGTGGCTATCAACTAATTCAAACCAAAGCAATGCTTGTTGACTGGAAGAGCAGCTAGCCTTCATCTGGTTATGTGTTGATCAGTGACCGACTGACTGCATGTGATAATCCAACCCATAATAGGCCTCTATAAGCTATCGATGTATGGAGGTCAGATGAGATGAAAGCAATAACTGTACTGTAACATGCAACAGTTTCCAGGGGCTGAGACGGTCTGTCTGCCCTCTGGGTCTCAGAACACAAAAGTTGATCATTTCTGGTATTTCTGTTGTGCTTTCAGACCAGAGCAAGCCCACATACCCCTCTCCGTCCGACCTCTTCCCTGAGACTCAGTACTATGGTAAGTTTAGCGTATTGGGGGTGCTCTTGTCCATCATTGACACTATCAGAACACCGCAGCTGAGAAATGTAGAGATTGAGGACTTTGTCAACATACAAGGAGCTTATGCTGGGCAACAATTGATTAAGAATTACAACTACATGCTAGAATCAGTCAGTCATTTTCATGCTTTAGAGTTTTTTTATGGTAGCCTACCCTGTGGATTCCTGTAACCTGTATGTGTGTTTCTCACAGACACCAACAGCCCTTACCCTGGATCCAGCAGCTCTAAGAGCCAGAGTGACATATCTCCTTTCTCTGAGGACCCAGCTTCCCCTTTGAAACCTGGCTTTTACCTTCTGACTGACAGCTTCAATGGCCCCTCCTCCACAGCCCCAGACACTGTCATGGATGGTGAGAGTTAGACAGTTGTGAAACATACCGTATGGTCAAGTGTTTGATGAAAGTATTGTCTGAGAAAGTGACAGAACGGCTAGTTATTGTTTATGTTTTGAGGTAGTCAAGAGCGACAAGGGCAAAGCACTTTATGCATCTCAGTAGGCTCAGGAGGAGTCCCATGTTTTCTCTGAGTGCTGATGCATTGTGTAGTCTATTGTATACCTGCTTGTGTTTGTTTGTTTGTATGTACTAACGTCCACCATCTTGCCCCCTTATCTCCTGTGAAGCCTTGAGTGATGCAGCCACCAGTCTCTTGGAGGACATCTCCCCCATTCTCCCTACACCCATGGCTGCCACTCCCTTTGCCCTGCCTTCCCTCATCGGTCAGCTCCCTGGAGCTGCTAAGTTCCCATCCTCTGGCTCGCCCTGGCCCAGCCAGGGTGGCCCCATGGCGAGTAATGCTGGCCCCGGGGACCCGTCGTCTGGAGCTCCCCTGCTCCCCACTTTGGCAGATATCACCAAGGCCTTGGGGCTCAACAACCCCATCACTTTGGCAGACATAGCCAAGGCCTTGGGGGTCAACACTCCCAACGACCCCATCACTTTGGCAAACATAGCTAAGGCCTTGGGGTTCAACAACTCCAACGACCCAAACCCCCCCCAAAACCACAACAACCCCAGCTCTCTGGCAGACATAGCCAAGGTCATGGGGCTTAACTCCCCCAATGACCCCATCACTTTGGCAAACATAGCCAAGGCATTGGGGTTCAAGAACCCCAACTATCCTAACCCCCCCCCCAAACCCCAACTCTCTGGCAGACATAGCCAAGGCCTTAGGGCTAAATAGTCCCGATGACCCCATCACCTTGGTAAACATAGCCAAAGCCTTGGGGTTCAAGAACCCCAACTATCCTAAACTCCCCCAAAACCCCAACAACCCCAGCTCTCTGGCAGACATAGCCAAGGCCTTAGGGCTCAACAGCCCCAACTACCCAATCACTTTGGCAAACATAGCCAAGGCCTTGGGGCTGAACGACCCCAACATTCCTAAAACCCCCCAATACTCCAACGAACCCATCACTTTGGCAGACATTGCCAAGGCCTTAGGGCTCAAAACCCCCAACAGCCCCATCACTCTGGAAGACATAGCAAAGGCCTTAGGGCTAAAAAAAAACAAAGACCCCATCACTTTGGCAAACATAGCCAAGGTCTTGGGGCTCAATGACCCCAGCACTCTGGCAGACATAGCTAAGGCCTTAGGCTTCAAATACCCCAATGACCCTAAACCCCCCCAAAGCCCCAACTCTCTGGCAGACATAGCCAAGGCCTTAGGGCTCAACAGCCCCAATGACCCAATCACTTTGGCAAACATAGCCAAGACCTTGGGCCTGAACAACCCCAACAAACCCATCAACCTGGCAGACATAGCCAAGGCCATGGGGTTGAATGATCCCAGCACTTTGGCAGACTTAGCCGAGGCCTTGGGGGTCAAGAACCCCAACAAACCCATAACTCTGGCAGACATAGCCAAGGCTTTGGGATTAAACAACCCTAAACCCCCTCAAAACCCCAACACTCTGGCAGACATAGCCAAGGCCTTGGGGCTCAACGACCCCAACAAACCCATCACTCTGGCAGACATAGCCAAGGCTTTGGGGCTCAATGACCCCAGCACTCTGGCAGGCATAGTCAAGGCTTTGGGGGTCAAAAACCCCAATGACCCTAAGAAACCCCAAAACCTCAACAGCCCCAACATTCTGGCAGATATAGCTAAGGCCTTGGGGCTCAATGACCCCAACAAACCCATCACTCTGGCAGACATAGCCAAGGCCTTGGAGGTCAACAACCCAAAAAAACACAACAAAGGTCTACCAGGTAGGGATCTCAGATTAGATACTATGTAATGTATCTCCGTCATTCACATTTGGGATGTCTGCTCTGTTGTGATGTATAGTACAGCGTCAATTGATTAAAATAAATATGCAATCAGTGTCAAGTAGATATTTAGCTATTATACAGTAAGCTATATGTATTATTTAATACAATAAATGACAACACCTAAATATTGGCTTCTACCTACACGGCTGTATCCTCTTTCCTCTAGATGCCAACAGTAACCCAGACCTCTGCAGTGACCTGCCCATCAACGGACTGACCACTCTGGCCAACGGAACCATTCTCATTTTCAAGGGTGTGTAGAGCATAGTGATCTAGCTCATGCCCAGCACTGTCCTACACAGCGCTCTCCCATCTCACTTATTACTTAGTGATTAAATATTTATGAAGGTCATGTAGCTTTTCCAAAGCAGCATAAAAAAAATATATATATATACTTGATACATTATCTCCTAATGATTGTTGTTCTGTTTCCCCCAACCAGGTCATTTCTTCTGGACGATGGACCCCAGCACCAAGGCCCTTGGCCCAGCCCGCAACATCACAGAGGAGTTGGGCATTCCGTCCCCTATCGACAGTGCCTTCACCCGCACCAACTGCCAGGGCAAGAGCTACATCATCAAGGTACTGTAGAACTCCAGAGGAAAAACCTAGAACCTGAGAGAAGTTCAGAGGGTTGGGGCAGTAGAGATGCCTTGGTGGAACCTAATGGCAACACTTAATGTCCCCATCTCTTTTCCATGTCAGGGTGATGGCTACTGGAGGATGGACAACGGCAAGATGGAGCCTGGTTACCCCAAATCTGTTGCCTCTGGTTTTGATGGTCTGACTGGCACCATCACTGCAGCCCTGTCTGTGCCTGCTACCAGGAGAAGGCCTGAGTCTGTCTACTTCTTCAAGAAAGGTTAGGGAGAGCTTTGAGGTTTACCACTACCTAACCTACTCCCATTGCGTTACATGATGAGTCACACCAATGTGCTTGCTTTACTCAATCCTAATTGACAATTTATTTCTCTCACAGGAGGCACCATGCAGAAATACTCCTACCCTGCTGGAAGCAGCCCTGTCTGTGGCAAGAAATCCAAGTCCAGTGCAAAGAAACGCCACGCTCGGCAAGCAGAGGTGCGTTTGGGAGGAGAGATCAACATCAAGCTGTCTCTGAAAGGCTTCCCCTCCTCAGTGACCTCAGCTGTGTCTGTCCCCAGCCCCAAGAAGGCTGACGGATACGAATATTTCCTCTTCGCTGGACGTAAGTCTTGGTCAATGTATTGTAAATCAAATCAAATGTTATTTGCCACATGCTCCGAATACAACAGGTGTAGACCTTACAGTGAAATGCTTACTTTTCTAGCCCTTAACCAATAATGCAGTTTTATGAAAATAAGAAAGAGTGTTAAGTAAAAAATAGGTAAGTAAAAAATTTAAATAGCAAATAATTAAAGAGCAGCAGTAAAATAAAATAACAGTAGGGAGGCTATATACAGGGGGTACCGGTACAGAGTCAATGTGCGGGGGCACCGGTTAGTCGAGGTAATTTAGGTAATATTTACATGTGGGTAGAGTTAAAGTGACAATGCATAGATAATAAACAGAGTAGCAGCAGCGTAAAAGAAGGGGTGGATAGTCCGGGTAGCCATGATTAGCTGTTCAGGAGTCTTATGACTCGGAGGTAGAAGCTGTTAAGAAGCATTTTGGACCTAGACTTGGCGCTCCAGTACCGCTTTCCGTGCGGTAACAGAGAGAACAGTCTATGACTAGGGTGGCTGGAGTCTGACCATTTTTAGGGCCTTCCTCTGACACCGCCTGGTATAGAGGTCCTGGATGGCAGGAAGCTTGGCCCCAGTGATGTACTGGGCCGTACGCACTACCCTCTATAGTGCCTTGAGGTCGGAGGCCGAGCAGTTGCCATACCAAGCGGTGATGCAACCAGTCAGGATGCTCTCGATGGTGCAGATGTAGAACTTTGAGGATCTGAGGACCCATGCCAAATCTTTTCAGTCTCCTGAGGGGGAATAGGCTTTGTCGTGCCCTCTTCACGACTGTCTTGGTGTGTTTGGACCATGATAATTTGTTGGTGATGTGGACACCAAGGAACTTGAAGCTCTCAACCTGTTCCACTACAGCCCCGTCGATGAGAATGGGGGCATGCTCGGTCCTTCTTTTCCTGTAGTCCACAATCATCTCCTTTGTCTTGATCACGTTGAGGGAGAGGTTGTTACCCTGGCACCACACGGCCAGGTCTCTGACCTCCTCCCTATAGGCTGTCTCATCGTGGCAGATGTGTTGTTACCTACCCTTACCACCTGGGGGCGACCCATCAGGAAGTCCAGGATCCAGTTGCAGAGGGAGGTGTTTAGTCCCAGGGTCTTTAGCTTAGTGATGAGCTTTGAGGGCACTATGGTGTTGAACGCTGAGCTGTAGTCAATGAATAGCATTCTCACGTAGGTGTTCCTCTTGTCCAGGTGGGAAAGGGCAGTATGGAGTGCAATAGAGATTGCATCATCTGTGGATCTGTTGGGGCAGTACGCAAATTGGAGTGGGTCTAGGGTTTCAGGGATAATGGTGTTGATGTGAGCCATGACCAGCCTTTCAAAGCACTTCATGGCTGCAGACGTGAGTGCTACCGGTCGGTAGTCATTTAGGCAGGTTATCTTAGTGTCCTTGAGCACAGGGACTATGGTGGTCTGCTTGAAACATGTTGGTATTACAGACTCAGTCAGGGACATGTAGAAAATGGACATTATGTACAGGCAGTATCATTATGTAATGTACATCTGATATCTCGGTTATATCATGGAAATAGGGTTATTACAGTTCAAAAGACAGCGCCTTAATGTATATAATATATAATATAATATGCCATTTAGCAGACGCTTTTATCCAAAGCGACTTACAGTCATGCGTGCATACATTTTTGTGTATGGGTGGTCCCGGGGATCGAACCCACTACCTTGGCGTTACAAGCGCCATGCTCTACCAGCTGAGCTACAGAGGACCACAATGTACTGTATACATATACACATTTAAGAAATGTATTATATTCTTACGCTGATGCTGCGTTTGACAGTGTATAAAACATTAAAAACACCTGCTCTTTCCATTACAAACTGACCAGGTGAAAGCTATGAACCCTTATTGATGTCACTTGTTAAATCCACTTCAGACAGTGTTTATGAAGGGGAGGAGACAAGTTAAAGAAAAATATGTAAGCCTTGAGACATTGATTGTATGTGTGCCATTCAGACGGTGAATGGGCAAGACAAAGGATTGAAGTGCCTTTGAACCACATGCAGCCAGTGGCACCTTAATTGGGGAGAACACATGGAAACCACCACTCCATTCCAGCCATTATTATTGACGGCGAGGAAATATAATACATTTTAAGTGTCACCCTTCGGACTTCAGTGAAGACCGAATGCGGCCTGCGGGGAAAATGAGTTTGACACCCCTGACTTGGAGAGAAACAGAATATGCTATGTGTAAATGACCTGTCACACGGGATAAAACAAATACTAAAATGTCAAAATGCTCATCTAAAAGCAAATGCAAAAAGGCCCTGTTATTCTGTTGGAAAGGTAGTTATTAAATCAACATACTAACATGAACTCAAATCCCTTTTAGCGCTCTACTTCAACATCAAGATATCTGGTGACCTGCCTGCTCTGGCCAAACCAGACAACCCTGATCCCAGCCAGAACTCCATCAAGAACTGGCTCAAGTGTGCCTAGAGCAACCCTATGGATGGACCACCAACAACGCACAAAGCACGAATACGACAAACATTTGATTTTTCTCAAAGTTTATTAGCAAAACAAAAGCAACGGAACAATTACTATTTTTGAAACAAATACAAAACAACTAAAATTAACCTTTTTAAAGCACATGGTATCCACTGATACAAAGTTAGGGAAGAAAACTCAACCACAAATTGGTTGGATTTTTTAAGTAGACCAAGACACTATGATTGATACTTTGGAGGAAGGAAGGGGGATGGAGCAGTGCATGATGGCATCATTAGCGGGGTAGGTTTCCTCTACCGAAGGGGCCTCTTCCTGCTCGAAGGAAGCCCATACCTTGAATGGAGGGGGCGAAAAGAGACAAGGTTCCATCTTAGCCATCATCCAAAATGGCCACTTCATGAAGTTTATAACTCTGTTGTGTTGCTTTAGTTTGGGTCACTATAGCTTCTTTGAAGGTTGTTTTGATGTGCATTGAAATAATTACCTCTCCAAACTGTCAGTGCTAAGCTCAAAAATAAGCTAAAACATTTGACAAGACCCCAAGGTAAAACCATACCTGAAGGCTTAAATATCACTTGCATGACAGCAACCCTGCTCCAACCATACTTGTATCACATGTACTCCAACATGCCAAACAAAAGTCTACAATTTGTGTCACCTACTTTCTCTTGCTTATCAAACTAATAAAAATGGTTCTCATCTACTTAGTTGTGTGGTGTGTTTCTACACTGATGCAACAGTATGGTAGCAAAGCCACTGCTTTAGTTGAATGGACTTATAACATGTTGTTCTGGGTTAAGTGGCCATTCAATGTAGATGAAAGCTCACCTCCTCTGCGGATGAGTGCCCTGCCCCTGTTGGCTGTCCTCATGGGCAGAGGGTGCTGGGCCATGGGGCGGCCTGAGGGCTTGGGCTGCACACCACTGCTGGTGTCTGTGAAAAGAGAGAGAGGGAGCGATAGAATGAGAGAAGAAAGAGAGAGACAAAGAGGTTATAACCAGGGATGAGAGAAGGTTGAGGTGTAGAGAACAACAAGAGAGACAGTGAGACAGAGAACGTGTGAGAGAGGGACAGCTGTACAGACCGGCGGAGCTGGAGGTGGGCTCCTGGCTTGTGGAGGGCAGACTGGCATCGTCTGACGGCTGAGCAGAGTCCATCTCAGCCTGGCTCTCCATGGACGCTTCACCACTCGTACTAAGAGGAAAGAAAAGTGTGAATGAGCAACACAAATACACACACGGATACACCCTCCCTCCCCCCCACACACACACACAACCACCATTTCTCACCCTTCACTGTCTGCCTCCATGAACACCTCGTCCCCGTCATCTCCTGGGACAGCCTCTCCGCCGGGCACTGCCAGCCCGTGGTGACTCGTGGATGTCGTCACCATGGGAACAGACTGGGACGCCATGTCCTGGGCATCAGAGGGGTGGGACTCATTGAAGAGCGTCACCGGGGCAGCAACCTGTAAGGGCGTGGTAGGAACACTCCTCCCTCCAGACTCCTCTTCGTGAGCGGCCAGGAACAGAGGACTCTCGTACATCCCTAGACCTACACAGACACAATTACAGGGTTCAGGCAGTTGAAGCTGACACTCATTACCATGACATCAATTTCACGACAGAGATATTTTCTCTATAGAGGAAAAAGACAGTACAGAGAACCGCATTCGCTCAGTGCTACTTGGTGTTTGTGTTGTACCTCCTTGTGAGGCGAGCTGTCCGAGGTCAGAGTGGGACGAGCTGGCCTGAGGCATGTCTTCAGGAGGACCAAACCTGAACCTGGGAACTCCTGCTACCTGGGGAGAACTGAGAGACAGACGGACATGGGACAGACACCGATAATAATATCAATGAAAAACCAATGGCCAATGGACACAAGAGACTGGGTCCAGTCAATCAATACCACATCACAACATTCATTTAAGGGTCCATACAAGTTTGTGTGTGTGTGTGTGAGAGACGTACTGGATGGCCTCAGCGAAGCCATCCGTCCGGTGGGGCACCACCAGCGTGGGCGTACTGGGGACCATCCTGTCATCGTCATCAAAGAAGTGTTGCTAAGGGATGGAGAACAGAGATGGTGAGAGAGGAGAGAGAACTATGAAACTGTGCAAGACATGACTTGGTTAGGTTACATGGTCATTGAAATACTCCTGGACCCAAATTATGCCTAGACCAAGAAGCCTTTAGTACAGGAATAAGCTTGGTAACACTAATCTGTGTCCGGGAAACCATGTCTAAACATACAGCACACAGGCACTTCCTCCCTTACCATGTTGCCTATCCCAGGGGTGAGCTGGGGTCCTCTGCCTACAGACTGCCGGCGGATTGGTGCAGACAGCCTCTGTGGGACAAACAACCACAAGGGCGTTAAACTATACTCTTTTTGCACAGCTGACTCAGAGTACATAGTGAGGATTGTATAATTGAACCCAGGAGTACGTTAGTACAAGTTACATCTGAATATCTGTATTTACGTCTGAAAGCATGCATGTGTCTGGATCAGGTCCTGACCTGTGTGGGTGGAGGTCCCAGGCCCAGCTCAGGGCCGGGCGGCTGGATGTAGAGGCGTGGGGGCAGGGGGTGTGGGGGTCGGCGTGGGACGGACTGGGGCAGGCGCAGGGGGACCTGACGGGGGTCCAGGCTGAGGCTGGGGGTGGTGGAGGGGGAGAAGGGGGAGGTAGAGAAGGAGAAGGTGGTGGTAGTACTAGGGGAAGGCTGTAGCAGTTCTCTGGGGGGATCAGACATGGCCAAGGGGAAGGACTCTGTGGTGCTGCTGCTCCCACCACCTGGAAGCAGAGGAAAGGGTTAATGTCTCAGACTATGATACGGCAGGCGCAAAGTCACATCTGCCTGAAGTTTGTACTCACTTCTATACTATCCGTTTTAATGTTATTTACCGCATTAATTTTACTTCCAAAATACGACATCCATATTAGGAAGTTCCTCAATTGTCAGACAATACTACCTCAGTCGTCAGTGTTTCAAATGCCAACTAAGGGATTTCTTAATACAAATGGCGTACAAAACAGTCTCTCGCTCTCTCACCGCTCTGTGAGTCAGCCTGTTTCTGGGAGGTGGAGTCTATAGCACCCATGCTCTCCTCGTTCTCCGAGGCAGGCTCCGAGGTCTCAGGGCCCGTCTCGTCTCCTTCTCCTTCGTTCGGCTCGTTAGCGTCTCCACTCGCCTCGTTGCTCTCCTCTCTTCCCATCCCCTGGTCATCATCTTCATCATCCTTCTCTTCCTCCACCTCTTCCTCATACTGGGGAGAAAAAAACTATTGCTTGAATAATCAAATGCACATAAAGATGGTATACATTAGCAGTTGTCACAAAGTGCTTTTACAGAGATAAAATAATCTAGCGTGAAATGCTGAAAGATCATTTCTTAAAATTAAACACCTAAATAGAGATCAACAGATCAGATTCAGCAAACATTCAATAAACACTGAATACATTTTGACTTCAACATATACTGAAACCCTCACCTGCTCTACCTCCTCCTCCTCCTCCTCTTCGTCTCGACTGGAGCTGTCCGTATCGATGATGATGACGTCAGGCTGGCGCTCCTCGCTGGAGTCCTGGGTGTCAGAGGGCTGGGGGGTCACCTGGTGGTCTGAGGGGACAGACTGGGACACCCCGTCGTCCTCTTCCTCCACCTCGCCCAATACAGGAAAGGACACGTCTGGTAGCTCCTACCCCACACACAGTTAGATAGGGTTATGCAACGAGACTCATATGATGATGAATACATGCACCCTTACACATACAGGGCCTGTGCGAGAACACCCTCTTATGTCTTAAGGTTTACCTGGCTGCCATCTGGAGTCTTCTGGTTCTCCCCTGACCCCTCAGCTTCTCCATCAGTGCCCTCTTCACTCTCCTCCTCCAGGCCCACTCTCTGGATGATACGGAGCTTCTTCGGGATGGGTGTTTCGTCTGGGTCCTCCAGGGCCGTGTCGGCGCTCTCTGCCCGAGGTTCCTGCTCCACCTCGCGGGCACGCTTTGGCCCCGCAGAGCACCCTGTGGCCATACCGGAGCCAAATACGGCCGTAGACGTGGAGGGCCTCTCCACCTGACCACTAGGGCCCGCCTCTGCCTCCTGACTGGCCGGCTCGGCGATGGGCGGGGCCTGCTGTTGCTGGGTGGGCTGGACAAAGGCGGTGGCCTGGCTGCTGATTGGCTGAAACTGAGTGTGCGTGATGTTCTGGACGCTAGGGCTGGTGGAGCGGACCGAGCCGCTGGTGCTGCCAAACACAGACACGTGTTCCACGGGGGTTCCACCCTCAGAGGACTGCAGCGCTGCAGGGGTTAACACACACACAGGGTTAAAAGGTCAGGTCAAAAGTATACCATCTATTGCTGCCCTGGGGGACAGTATCCTATCTATTGCTGCCCTGGGGGACAGTATCCTATCTATTGCTGCCCTGGGGGACAGTATCCTATCTATTGCTGCCCTGGGGGACAGTATCCTATCTATTGCTGCCCTGGGGGACAGTATCCTATCTATTGCTGCCCTGGGGGACAGTATCCTATCTATTGCTGCCCTGGGGGACAGTATCCTATCTATTGCTGCCCTGGGGGACAGTATCCTATCTATTGCTGCCCTGGGGGACAGTATCCTATCTATTGCTGCCCTGGGGGACAGTATCCTATCTTATGCCGATCCTATAATACAGAGCCACTTCTCTCACCTTCCTGGCTGTCAGACTGTGTATGGGGCATGACAGTGGCCGTGGGGGTGGGCATGGTTATGGGCACCATGGGTCGGATGCTGGCCCTGGGGGTGGACTTGTTCCCGGGGATGGGAGAAGGTTTACTGGGGGCACCGCCTGATACCGTGGTGGGTTTAATGTTGGCAGTGGGGGGCTGCTCTGAAGAGCCAGAAGAACCACTGTTTGGTAAGAAACGGGAAAAACAAGACAGAAATGGTGTTAAGAGTCCCAGGACGAGGAACCATCAGTTACTTTGATTTCAAACCAGTATTTATTTTCAGTGTGCATGATTCAGACATAGTTATACCTTCCCCTGTCTGCAGCTTGGGTAGTCCTTTGGCTGATCTGCCTCTGTTCTGGAGCTCTCTGCTGCTGCTCCTGGCTCTGGAAGAAGAAAGGAGGAAGTGTCCATCACAAATCATTGAATTGGAATTTCAATTAATCTCCTGGATCGACTGAATTTAAATGTAATTTATCCCAAATCCAGTGTACTGTACTCCCTCTCTGGTCTTTGATCTATGGGAAAAAGTGCTTGAGTGTGTGTGTGCGCGCATGTACCTTATTTTTACCCTGGTCCTGGGACTCGTCTCTCTGAGGTTGTTCGTCACGGTGGTCTCTGAGCTCCCTGATCTCTCGGTCCTGTCGGTGCAGACGGCCCTCATACTGGGACTTGAGAGCACTCAGACGCACCTCCTGCTCCTCCCGCTGCTGCTTCAGCTCCTCCACCTCCTTGGCCAGCTGCTCCTTCGCAACTGGGACACACACACAGAATACTTCATTTGAATCCATGATGAGTACAAACCCCAGATAGTTCTCATATCACTTAAATCATTCCTTTAAAATCTGGGCTACAAAAACATGAGACATTAACACACATTCACACACAGATGGCCATGTTTGAGGAGACTGACACTAATGAATGCCTTATATAGTCATAGCATTGCATAAATGGACAAATGTGCCAAAATAGTTTATTACTACCACTATATGATGTGCATAAATAAACATAAACAGCTAGCTATGGGACTTACTGTTGAGCTGGTTGATCTTCTGCTTGGCGCCCATGAAGACCTTCTTGGTCTTCTCCTCCTTGTCGGCCATCTGTTGCCGTAGTGACTCCTCCTGAGCAGTTTTCTCCTGCAGCTCCTGTCTCAGCCGGGTCACTTCACTCTGGGTCCCCTGGGCCTGGGTAGACTGTTCCTGGAGGCGGGTCAGCTCCTGTTTCAGCCGGATCACTTCACTCTGGGTCCCCTGGGCCTGGGTAGACTGTTCCTGGAGGCGGGTCAGCTCCTGTTTCAGCCGGGTCACTTCACTCTGGGTCCCCTGGGCCTGGGTAGACTGTTCCTGGAGGCGGGTCAGCTCCTGTTTCAGCCGGGTCACTTCACTCTGGGTCCCCTGGGCCTGGGTAGACTGTTCCTGAAGGCGGGTCAACTCCTGTTTCAGCCGGGTCACTTCACTCTGGGTCCCCTGGGCCTGGGTAGACTGTTCCTGGAGGCGGGTCAGCTCCTGTTTCAGCCGGGTCACTTCACTCTGGGTCCCCTGGGCCTGGGTAGACTGTTCCTGAAGGCGGGTCAACTCCTGTTTCAGCCGGGTCACTTCACTCTGGGTCCCCTGGGCCTGGGTAGATTGTTCCTGGAGACGGGTCAGCTCCTGTCTCAGACGCCCCATCTCTGTGTCGCGCTCACTCACTGTCTGACAGGGTGATTTTACATTTACATCATTTAGCAGACGCTCTTATCCAGAGCGACTTACAAATTGGTGCATTCAACTTATGATAGCCAGTGGGACAACCACTTATTTTTTTTATTTTTTTATGGGGGGGGTGGGGGGAGAAGAATACTATATTAATCCATACGAGACGGAAATGTGTCTCCTGCTATCATTAGAGAGGTTTGGGGGTCAATGGTTTGAGGGGTTTTGTAAAGATGTATGGTGAAGGAAGTACAGGAAAGGGAATAGATAGGTCCTCCAGAACCAGGGAAAAGGATCATGGGTGGACAAGGAAGAAAGGCAACGTATTCTCTGTCAAAACAATCATGCCTCTTCTCTGGAAAAACTACCTCATTTGTTGAAATTCAAATACAATCAAAGGTTAATAATTTCTAATCAATAGCTAGGTTTCCATCCAAATGGTGACAGATTTTCAGGCGAATATAAAAAAATCTGCATAAAAACAATCTGCACCAGATTTTCCCACCAGCAGTGAGTTTCCATCAAACTGCCTTGTTGGTGATAAAAGGCTGTGCGTGATGAGGTAGTGTACATAAACATGTATTTTTCGGTCGATGGTTTTGTCAAAAACTGTTGCGATAAATAGCAAACTTGCAGTCTGGTTTCGGCGCATGCCCTCTAGACAAGACTTCACTGATAGTGGACAGGGGGTTATATTATGAGATTATGGATAAGAGCAAGATCTTAATTGATAAATTGGCAGCCAAGCACCGATCATCATGTCACCAGCGTTCAAATAACAGCCTACCCTCAATATTTAGCATATTGGAAATGTGCATGATCACCGTGCACTTCACCACCAGTTGAAGTTCATCATAACTTATTTCATCTGTCTATAAACTTTTCATGCTTTCCACGTCATCGTGGTAGGCCCATATTATTTGCTCCAAGTTCACTTCGATATGGTCCTCTGTAGCTCAGCTGGTAGAGCACGGCGCTTGTAACGCCAAGGTAGTGGGTTCGATCCCCGGGACCACCCATACACAAAAATGTATGCACGCATGACTGTAAGTCGCTTTGGATAAAAGCGTCTGCTAAATGGCATATTATTATTTATTATTATTATATGATGGTTATGTTAATATTTGCGCATAAAGGCGTTTCCACCGCCATTTCACGCATAATTATTTATACAGACAAAAAGATCCCACCATGTCGAACAAACAAATTGTCTTTCGACATTTATGAAATTGTACCGACATTTCTTGTTTCCATAAGCCCTGTCGGGACTTTTTTTTTATGCATCAGGTACTTCAGCCGCATGAAATGGTAGGATGGAAATCTGGTTTATGATACTGACAAGGTGCCAATACCCATCTGCACAAAACTGCTTTTCTAAAGGTCTACTTATGCTAAGCATCTACAGCACTAGCTCCATACACATGCAGTACACCTACCTCCTGTACGTTTTTCAGTTGTCCCTCCAGGTCTTTGACCTTGGTCTCAGCCTGGCTGAGGGAGTCCTTCAGGCTCTGGATCTCCTGGGCCTGCTGCTGGGCCTGCTGCTGGGCCTGCTGCATCTCCTCCTGGGCTGGCTTGGCTGCTGCCTCCGCCACCAGCTACCAAAGGGGACAGAAGAGGGGGGAGAGGAGCAGAGTGTTAGAATGGAACAGAATTAACAGTCAGTCAGTAAAAGTTTGACTGGCCCTGTCACTGTAGCTGTAGGTGCAAACATGTGCAGGTACAGCTTAAAACAACTTTAAACATGCATGACCAGCAAATATACACACACAACCCCCCACCACACCCTCACACACACCTTGTCGTGCTGCACTTTGAGCTCCTCATACTGGGTCTTGTAACGGCGGCCGATCTTCTTGACCTGCGTGATGGTCTTGGACTTCTCCTGGATGTCCAGGTTCTTGGCGTCCAGCTCCTTCTTGGTCACATCCCTCTCGGTGGTCACCTTGCCCAGAGTCTCCCTCAGGTTCTGCACCTGGCTCTGGACTGTGGTCACTGACGCATGGGTCCTATGGAGGACAGGAGTATGTACAGAGTCAAGTGTAAAGAAATGTGGATTAGACCATAATGAATAAAAATATTTTGGACACAAATCTCTTGTACAGTTTATATTTGAGTTGAGCATACTGTAGTATTACATTTTGATTCAGTTTCTGAATTTATTGAATTGGAAATGAATTGTCCCCAACCCTGGTGTGTGTGTGTGTATGCAAGTGTCCATGTGTGTTTTATAATTCTACAATGCTGCATAGAATCAGAGTGAGTGGCAAATTTCATGTCACAACATATCAGGGGGGTATTCATTACGCTGATTTTGTTGCAAAACGTTTCTTAAAAAACGGAAGCGAACGGAACGGGCAGGGACATACCTGAATTTGTTCAATAGATACTCTCGTTTTAGTTGCAAAACTGTTTGGAAGAAATGATTACACCCCTGGGTGATTGGTGCATTTCTGTGTTAAAGTGAATTTCAACTCTTCTGTGGCTCAGTTAGTAGATCACTGCTCTTGCAATGCCAGGAGTGTGGGTTCGATTCCCACTAGGACCACCTATATGAAAATGTTATGCACGCATGACTAAGTCGCTTTGGATAAAAGCGTCTGCTAAATGGCATAGATTTATTGATTTAACTCTGCCAGGTTGAATGTGAAACTGATTTTATATGATCCACACAGAGTACATCCATAAATTCCACTCTTTTATTGTCATGGCAATTCTGAATCATACAAATAAATCAAGCAAAGCAAAGTTGGTGGAATATTTAAAGTTCGAATGTTTGGTTGAGGGGGGGGCAACAGTGTTGATTTGAAATCCATTTTTATTTCTTTACCATGGTGATTCTATTCAAAAGAATACACTTACATTTTAAAATGATGATATCACAATTAAAAAAGTCCCGGTCCCTAAACCAGCTTCCGCTACCAAAACCTGCCTGAGCAGGAGAAACAATGTCTGTTCCACAAGCACATGGAGATGAGGTGCAAGGTGGAGTTTACAGGAGAGTGACGAGGGAGTTCTATGAGTAGCGTGTGAGCTCAGGTGACCAGTGGATATTTTCTGATGAAGAAACTAGAAGCCATTTCGGGGGGGGTGTGTTGAGGTTGCAGAGATGGGGCTTCTCTGATCTCCCATGTATTTGTAGTAGTAATAGTAAGACAAGATGAGACCAAATAATATAGGATAGGAAATTGGTAGGTATAGTAATTTTGATAAGTGTAGGTTTTTGCCTTTTTTATATAAATTAAAATAAAGAATAGCATAGAAATTGTGATGAGTATATTTCGAGTAAGGTGTGTGTGCGTGTACTGACCTGGCCACCTCAGCCTTGAGTCTCCCAGTCTCCTCAGAGAGCTGCTGGATGCGTTTGAGGTGGGCCTCTCTCTCCGAGTGCAGCTTCTTGTTCTCCTCCTGGTCTGTGTCCTTCTGCTGGCTCACCAGTTGCTGAGGGACACAAACACACACACACACACACAGTGTGTTCACAAATTCACTCTGGAGTGCCAGAGTGCGCTCTGGGAGTTCGCAAATTCAGAGCGTTGTCAGATGGTCCGTTCGTAAATTCAGAGCGTTTCGCACTTGGAGTGTTCAGAGCGCACACTGGACGCTCTGGCCGAGGAGTAGGGTTGATCCGAGCGTTCTGACCTCACAACAGCAGTCAAGCACCCAAGCTAACTGGCTAACGTTGGCTAGCTTGCTAGCTACTTCCAGACACAAATGAGAGAACACCTCACGCTGACCATTTTACTCGCCCTAGCAGAGCTGGTTAGGCTGTTTTCATGTTATCCAGATCATTGGTGACTAACTGCGCTGCTGGCAACGATTAAATTACGCTTTTTTGCCGACGTTTACTGACACCGGCCATATTCAACGGGTTTGTAAATTAATCCGTTATTATGGCACACTCAGATGAGTGCTCTGAAATCGGAGTAGATCGCCAAAGTGAATTTACGAACGCACCCATAACCATACATTATCACACACACGTACATTATCTATCTCTCGCTCTCACACACACACACACACTGAAGTTGACCTCTGACCTGTGTGCGGGCCTTCCAGCGTTTGATGTCCTCCTCCAACAGTTTCTTCTCAGCCTGCAGCATGCCATTCTTCTCACTCAGCTCAGAGGTGGAGTCCTGCAGGGGAGTGATGTCTGTCTCCAGCTTACGCACCTGGGAGAGACAGAAAGAGAAAGGAGGTAGTGGTAATTCACATGAGGAAAAGAGCACTGGCAGTATGTGTATAGAGACCAGGGTTATTGGTGTATAGCATCAAAGCAACGGAGTTCTACAGAAATATTAAAAATGTCACATATTCAGTCTCATCATACAGGGGATGTGGCCAATAGGCAACAGACTGGCTCAGAATTCAACATTAAGATGCCTCCTAAACATTTAAGAGTATTGCTGCAGCTGACAAACATCTTTAGAAATAAATCATGTAGCTAGTACCAATTATTAATAGTGACGCTTTTAACACACATAGGGCCTTATAAAATTCATAAATGTTTTAGCCTGATTCTGTTAGTTTTTTCTCCATTTTTTTTTCAAGTTTTCGCTCTCCAAATCATGCACCAAGAAGAGACCATTGTATGGTAAGCAGTGTTTCTGTAGCACTCATGTGATTGCAGAGTTTGCTAAACAAATGACTACTGGATTGATGCAAATATTCATGATTTCATTCTGCCAGGTAGGCATAGGCTACTTTGTAGTTAACATTTAATTGAGGTTTTTGGGAAAGATTTTCCATCTACGTGTTTACGGTCAGCATTAGCATAATCGCTAACGGCTACACAAAGTGTGTACATACGCGCGCACCGCACACACACAGGGGCATTCGTGTGTTGTTTCAGAAAGTAGCAAATTAATGCATTTTCTAACAAGTTCAAAACATTTAGTTGATTTCCTAATAAGTTCCATACATTCCGTTTTAATGTCTGGAATCTGTTATTCCGTCCCGTTTCCCCTACACTCAATAGAGTTCTTACTTTAGCCTGGGTCTGGTGCAGCTCCTGCTCCAGCCTCTCCCTCTCCTCCTTCAGCATCTTGTTGGTCTCCACCAGCATGTTCATGTTCTCCATCCTCTTCATCTTCTCATCGTGCTGGGCCATAGTCTTCGCTGTCAGCTGGGGGGCAGACAGTAGATATATGAACCCTTGGCAGGCTATAACACAGGAAAGGATGCTCTGAAAGGTTAAGAACTTTCTAGTTCTACCTGTAGTTTCTCTCTCTCAGCATTGAGGCTCTCTTGTAGTTCCTTCAGCTCTCGGTCCTGGTGTTCAACTTGCTGTTTGTAGCGCAGTGTCTCAACCTCGGCCACCTCAAACTGTGTCTCCACAATCTCCTTCTCGCGACGCACAAACCTGCAGGAGGGAAAGACAACAGGTCAGAGCAGGCTTAACAAACTGCTTATTCACTAAAGTACTGGTTAGGAACAGCTTTAGTGGATCTCCATCAGTTCTTGTAGGCTCAGTTTTCCAGACACAGATTAAGCCCAGTCTTGGACTTAAAAGCATGCTTAAGGTAGAATGGTGCTTTTTTTGTCTAGAACTAGGCTTAATCTGGTCTGGGTAACCGTTCCCTAGTGTAAAAATGTATTAGTGTGATCTTAGTTTTACAATCAGGAAATTCAGGTGACCGCAGATTTAGTAGAGGTGTTATACTAAATGGATATTTTGCAGGTCAGCAATACAGGTATCTATAAAATAATTGGCACAGTAAGCAAAGTCATATCCCTTTGTACTACCTGAGGATCTCCAGGATCTGTTCCTGGGACTTGCCCTCCTCGCTGAAGGACAGGTTGAGGCTGCTCCCCCTATTGGACTGTTGCTGTAGCTGTACTGTGGCAGCCATTTTGGCTCCCAGGCTCTCCATCTGCTGGTGCAGCAGGCCATTCTGCTTCTGCAGCTCGTCTGCCCGCTTCTGCTGCTTGGACAGGTCCTCCTGGGGGGAGAGGGTAGAGGATAATAATCAGTCAAGTAAGGCCTTGGAAGCTGGGGTGTGAAGAACGGTGTGTCCAACTCATCACCAGCAAGCAACTGATGGAACCATGAAACTTGACAATATTCAGTTTCAGTAACCTGCTACATCCTGACCAAATCTAATATATCTTTACCACATTGTCTGATAAAAAGACCTGCATTACTCTTACAACAATGTTCACACGTCACACCACACCTCCACCTAGCTTTGTCATCTCTTCCAATCCTTAGGCCACATTCACCCCAACCAACCACCAACCTTGAGTTTCTTCTCCAGCTGGTTCCAGTTGGTGCGAGCCTCCTGTAGCTGGGTGGTGGTCTGTTTGGCCTTGTCCTCCAGCTGCTTCCTGCTCTGGTTCCCCTGCAGGCCTTGTCTCTTGACCGCCTGCAGCGCCTCCACATCGGCCGCATGCAGCATCAACTCCCTCTCGTACTTGTTCTGGGCCTCCACTGCCAGCTTGCCCTGTGAGGGGAGAAAAATAGAGTTGAGTTTGACAAATCCATGCCTAGACACTGTTATGCCAATAGTCTTCATCTTGTTCTCAGAGTCATACTTTCTAGTGTTTCACCTAGTTTTTAATTACAGGTGAAGCACAAAGGACCTGAAGCAAGCAACATCTAGGGCAACTTGCCCCTTAATTATCAACTTTTTCACTGAGAACATGTAGCCTGGCATTAACTGGAGGTCTACCTGCTGCAGGCTTTCCTGCATGGCCTTCTGTTCCTGGGTGACAGCTGCAGCCTTCCTCTCCTCCGCCTCCTGCAGCTCTGATTGCATGTTCTTCATGGTCCTCTTCAGCTCATTCATCTGGGAAAGAAGGAGAGGGCATGAGTGGAGGATGACAGAGGAGAGCCTTGTTGGCCCCAGGACTAACATGTCAGCTCCAGGCATCCAACTTTAAGAGGAGTCAATACATTGCTACATTTAGCCACAGCTGTGGCTCATGATGCTTTGTAGAAGTATTTGGTTCAATGGCCATCTTACCTGTTTCTCCACAATGTCCACGGCCTTCCTCTTCTCCTCACGGAGCTCCTGTTTCTCCTTCTCAGCCTCCACCAGCTTCTTCTCCAGCCCACGCTGGAACTCCTGAGCCTCCTTCAGACGAGTCTCCACAGGAGAACGAGCCTGAGAGGTACAGACAGAGAGACAGAGGGGAAGTTAGGCATCAAAGAAGTTACATCAAATTGGGGTTCAAAGTGAGTTTGAACTCCGCTGGTAGCGCCAATTACTACAAGGATGGAAGATTGATAAGTCATTGTAGGATAATAAGTACTTGTACCCTTTTCTTGTGCTAATTCTCAACACTTGTACCTGTTTCTCCTTGCTGAGGGACTCCTCCAGACTGAGCACCATGGTGCGGTACTGCTCCACATTGGTGCTGGCGTTCTGCAGGCGCTCCTGCAGATCACTGATCAGCTTCTCGGCCTGCTGCAGACGCCCGCGCACCTCCTCTAGTTCTGCCTGGAGTTTGGCCTGGGCCTCCTGGGAAGCCTGGGACTGGGCCTGCTGGGAAGCCTGGGACTGCTGGGAAGCCTGGGACTGGGCCTGAGACTGAGCTAGGGTCTGAGATGGAGCTAAAAACACAGCACAAACAGATAGTGACTGGAATTTAGTGTTTTCCAAAATATGCCAACAGTTCTGGTCCAATGCCACCATTTCCAATGCTTTTACGCAATACATTGCAACGTCTCCTGTCAAATTCCCAGAGGACATCCGTACTGCCACTTTGGATGAAAGCCTACCTCTTAGTGGTGCTCTAATGGGTGCCCGGGGGTTGGTCTGGCCCTGGCCTAAACCTGAACCCTGGTTCTGGCTCTCAGCATGGCTGAGCTGCTGTCTCAGTAGGTTAGCCTGTTGCTCAGCATTCTTCAACAGCTCCTTGGTCTTCTGGTGCAGGGCACACTGGGCCTCCAGCTGCTTCTTGGCCTCCAGCAGTTGAGCCTGAGGGAGTGTATTAAAATAAAAATTGGTGGAGGAAGGAGAGGGGGCCTAAAAGTGTCTGCATGCTTCCCATCCGAAACAGTTAGTGCATAAGACAACATATTAAGTTTTTGGTCTATTCGGAAGCCGAAGTCTACGCCCCTTTGTCAGTGATTGGTCAACAGTAGGGATTCTTCAATGAAGTACATTCAACGAGAGACTAATCGTTTTAATGCACATTTCTTCACTTTTTGCACCAAACATCTTAGTTAGATGTAAAATTGAATGACTAAGATCTCCTTGGCAAAAACGTCAAAATGAATGACAGTTATCTTCGATGAATTCTAAATATTTTGACGAAGTGTATACTGGCTACGGCATCTAAAAGGCAGACAAACAGTACTATTGCCGCTTCTCTCATTTTTTAAAGTGAAGGTCTTTAACGGGAGTATCCACTCATCCAGCTGAACAGAAGCATGCGGAAGGCTTAAGTGATGATATGGTAAAAGCCACTGAAGGTCTAATATTCTCTAGGTCAGGGGTATTCAACTCTTACCCTACGAGGTCTGGAGCCTGCTGGTTTTCTGTTCTACCTGATCATTAATTACACACACCTGGTATCCCAGGTCTAAATCAAATCAAATGTTATTTGTCACATGCGCCGAATACAACAGGTGTAGACTTTACAGTGAAATGCTTACTTACAAGCCCTTAACCAACAATGCAGTTTAGTTTTAAGAATAATAAGTGTTAAGTAAAAAATATATACGTTTAAATAAACATTATTTTTATTTTTTTAAATAGTACAAATAATTAAAGGGCAGCAGTAAAATAACAGTAGCGAGGCTATAAACAGGGGGTACCGGTACAGAGTCAATGTGCGGGGGCACAGGTTAGTCGAGGTAATACAGTTGAAGTCGGAAGTTAACATACACCTTGGCCAAATACATTTAAACTCAGTTTTTCACAATTCCTGACATTTAATCCTAGTAAAGAAATCCCTGTCTTAGGTCAGTTAGGATCACCACTTTATTTTAAAAAATGTGAAATGTCAGAATAATAGAGAGAATTATTTCTTTCAGCTTTCATTTCTTTCAACACATTCCCAGTGGGTTAGAAGTTTACATACACTCAATTAGTATTTGGTAGCATCGCCTTTAAATTGTTTAACTTGGGTCAAATATTTTGGGTGCCTTCCACAAGCTTCCCACAATAAGTTGGGTGAATTTTGGCCCATTCCTCCTGACAGAGCTAGTGTAACTGAGTCAGGTTTGTAGGCCTCCTTGCTCGCACATGCTTTTTCAGTTCTGCCCAAATGTTCTATAGGGTTGAGGTCAGGGCTTTGTGATGGCCACTCCAATACCTTGACCTTTGTTGTCCTTAAGCCATTTTGCCACAACTTTGGAAGTATGCTTGGGGTCATTGTCCATTTGGAAGACCCATTTGCGACCAAGCTTCAACTTCCTGACTGACGTCATGAGATGTTGCTTCAATATATCCACATAATTTTCCTTCCTCATGATGCCATCTATTTTGTGCAGTGCACCAGTCCCTCCTTCAGCAAAGCACCCCCACAGCATGATGCTGCCACCCCCGTACTTCACGGTTGGGATGGTGTTCTTCGGCTTGCAAGCAGCCCCCTTTTTCCTCCAAACATAACGATGGTCATTATGGGCAAACAGTTCTATTTTTGTTTCATCCGACCAGAGGACATTTCTCCAAAAAGTACGATCTCTGTCCCCATGTGCAGTTGCAAACCGTAGTCTGGCTTTTTTAATGGCGGTTTTGGAGCAGTGGCTTCTTCCTTGCCGAGCGGCCTTTCAGGTTATGTCGATATAGGACTCGTTTTACTGTGGATATAGATACTTTTGTACCTGTTTCCTTCAGCATCTTCACAAGGTGCCCTGCTGTTGTTCTGGGCTTGATTTGCACTTTTCGCACCAAAGTATGTTTACATTGACATTACATTTTAGTCATTTAGCAGACGCTCTTATCCAGAGCGACTTACAGTTAGTGAATACTTTTTATTTTATTTTTTATACTGGCCCCCCGTGGGAATCGAACCCACAACCCTGGCGTTGCAAACGCCATGCTCTATCAACTGAGCTACATCCCTGCCGGCCATTCCCTCCCCTACCCTGGACGACGCTGGGCCAATTGTGCGCCGTCCATGAGTCTCCCGGTCGCGGCCGGCTGCGACAGAGCCTGGATTCGAACCAGGATCTCTAGTGGCACAGTTAGCACTGCAAAGCAGTGCCTTAGACCACTGCGCCACTCAGGAGGTAATGTTGCACTCATGTTCATCTCTAGGAGACAGAACACATCTCCTTCCTGAGCGGTATGACGGCTGCGTGGTCCCATGGCGTTTATACTTGCGTACTATTGTTTGTACAGATGAACGTGGTACCTTCAGGCATTTGGAAATTTCTCCCAAGGATGAACCAGACTTGTGGAGGTCTTGTGGAGGCTGATTTATTTTGATTTTCCCATGATGTCAAGCAAAGAGGCACTGAGTTTGAAGGTAGGCCTTGAAATACATCCATAGGTACACCTCCAATTGACTCAAATGATATCAATTAGCCTATCAGAAGCTTCTAAAGCCTTGACATCATTTTCTGGAATTTTCCAAGCTGTTTAAAGGCACAGTCAACTTAGTGTATGTATACTTCTGACCCACTGGAATTGTGATACAGTGAATTATAAGTGAAATAATCTGTCTGTAAATAATTGTTGGGAAAATTACTTGTCATGCACAAAGTAGATGTCCTAACCAACTTGCCAAAACTATAGTTTGTTAACAAGAAATTTGTGTGGTTGAAAAACAAGTTTTAATGACTCCAACCTAAGTGTATGTAAACTTCTGACTTCAACTGTATGTACATGTGGGTAGAGCTAAAGTGCCTGATTAGAGGGAAACAAAGCAGTGGAATTGGCTTCGAGTTCCAGAGTTCAGTTTGAGGGCTCTAGGTATTTTTTGGGAGAGCAGGGCATTAAAAGAGAGGACAGAACGTAAGTGTTGGGGGAAGACAGAAGAAAAGACAACCAGCGTCAGACAGAGCAAATCAGAAAGAAAGAGGAAGGGAAGTAAAGTAAGAGGGAAAGTTTGAGTGTATACGAACGTCTTGGTTGCGGCCCAGCGCGTGCCTCTGCTCCACCTCTTCAGCCAGTTTCTTCTTAAACTGGGTGAGCTCTCTCTCCAGTCTCTCTATCTGGCTGTTCAGACGCTGCCTGGTCTCGGTCTCCGTACGCTCCATCGTCAGCTAGGGGACAAGAGTAAGGCAGGGAGGTGATGGTCATTCAACCAAAATACAGGACGTGTGCATAGATCTTTTCCACACCAGAGTAGTGTGACTGGACTATAGTAAAGCTGCATTTGCAGTGATATCCCACAGGGTTAATGGCAGTAGCCATGAGGGTAAAGCCAACCACAGATTTGTCCTTTGAGGCATTTTCAATTACTAGGGGCACACTGTGAGGAGTCTGTCAAGGTATGGGCCTCAGCAATTGTGCAATGTGTTTGTGTAACTGGTTGACATATGTAAGAGCAGTGTGTGTGTGTGTACCTGGATGGACTTGAGGTTGGTGAGCAGGAGGTTCTGGTTGCGCTGCTCAGACATCACGGCCTCCTTCTCCTGCTTCAGTCTGGACTCAGCTGACTTCAGCATGTCGCTCTCCTTCTTCAGGTTCTCACCACGCACCTGATGGAGAGAGAGAGAGGGGGGGGGGGGGACAGAGATAGAAAGAGGAAATGGAGAGAGAAGGGAAGAGGGGAGAAAGGGAGAGAAATTAATAAACGTACCTACCCCATCGCAACTTTACTAGCAACACCTGGGCCAACTTCAACCTCCTAACCTACGACTCCTTACCTCTGCCAATGCCAGCTTCTCATTGGCTGCCCGAAGGTCCTGGGTCATGGTGTGGATGATCTGCTCGTGTTTCTGAGCCGTGGCGGCCATCTTCTGGCTCTTCTCGTGCAGCGCAGCGATCTCCCGCCTGTAGCCGTTTACGTTCTCCTGCAGCATCTCATACCTGACAGAGACACCAAACATGGATTGATTTCCTTCAGCAGATGGACACTTCTGCCCCCAAAAAGACGTATGAGATGTGTTTGTTCAGAGCATTTCGAAAACGGAAGTCGAAAATGATCAATAGCCAAAATTATCAATGAAACAAAAATCTATTATCTCAGAATTGTCAAAATGAAGGTGAAGTATAAAAAAGCAATGCTGGACATACACATCAGTATTGTCGTTGGAATTAGCCAACTACTTGGTTTTTGTTGAAGTTATATTAACTTACCTCTTGGAGGCGAACTCCAGCTGTGTGGAGAGCTTGGCCTTCTGGGAGCGGACCTCAGACAGCTGCTCCTGTATCTTGTCGTTCTGCTGGTTCAGCATCCTGTCGTTCTCCGCCTTCTCCTTCTTGTACGTGGTGAAGGAGTCGTTCAACTGGAAGGGACACAGTTTAAACATATTTAGTTTAGTCCATCTTAAAAAGTTACAAGTTTAGTCACTAGCTCACACAATTGAAGACAGATGTTCATGTGAAAATGCAAAAACCTGCATACAAATTATATGCAATAAAATACATTCTATACACTCAGTGGCCAGTTTTAGGTACACCCATCTACATTTTAGTCATTTAGCAGATGCTCTTATCCAGAGCGACTTACAGTTAGTGAGTGCATACATCTAGTACCGGGTCAGACCCCCTTTGCCTCCAGAACAGCCTGAATTCTTCGGGGCATGGATTCTACAAGGTGTGGCGTTCAAACGTTGCTCAATTGGTATCAAGGGACCTAACATGTGCGAGGAAAACATTCCCCATACCATTACACCACCGCCACCATCCTGTACCGTTGACATAAGGCAGGATGGGGCCATGGACTCATGCTGCTTACGCCAAATCCTGACTCTGCCATCAGCACGACGCAACAGGAACCGCGATCCGTCGGACCAGGCAATGTTTTTCCACTCCTTAATTGTCCAGTGTTGGTGATCGCGTGCCCACTGGAGCCACTTCTTCTTGTTTTTAGCTGATAGGAGTGTAACCCAGTGTGGTCGTCTGCTGCAATAGCCCATCCGTGACAAGGACTGACGAGTTGTGCGTTCCGAGATGCCGTTCTGCACATCACTGTTGTACTGCGCCGTTATTTGTCTGTGTGTGGCCCGCCTGTTAGCTTGCACGATTCTTGCCATTCTCCTTCGACCTCTCATCAACGAGCTGTTTTCGCCCACAGGACTGCCGCTGACTGGACGTTTGTTTGTCGCACGATTCTCAGTAAACCCTAGATCAGCGTTTCCCAAACTCGGTCCTCGTTTTGCCCATTCTAACGTTCAATCAAACAGTATCTGAATGCATCGATGCCTGTCTGCCTGCTTTATATAGCAAGCCACGGCCACATGACTCACTGCCTGTAGGAGGAAACCATTTTTGTGAACGGGGTAGTGTACCTAATAAACTGGCCACAGTGTGAGAGTGCGATGGTTCCCTTTTGATCACTGAGTGTAAGTTAAATGGGTTTCCATCGCATTTTCAACTCTACAGATTGTTTTGTCACAAAAACTGTTGCAATAAATCGCAAACTTTCTCAATCTGGTTTTGGCGCACGCTCTCTAGACAGTTCACTGAACAAGTGGACAGGGTATGTTATATGATGAGATATGGATAAGAGCAATATAAAAACTGATAATTGGCAGCCAACCATCGATCATCATAATAATAATAATAATAATAATATGCCATTTAGCAGACGCTTTTATCCAAAGCGACTTACAGTCGTGCGTGCATACATTTTTGTGTATGGGTGGTCCCGGGGATCGAACCCACTACCTTGGCGTTACAAGCGCCGTGCTCTACCAGCTGAGCTACAGAGGACCACAAGAGTATCATCATATGTCACCAACATTCAAATAATATTCTAAATATTTTATAGTAAATTTGCATGAAGCTCACCACCGTCCATCACCACCATGAAGTTCATGATAACTTATTTGATCTGCCTATAAACTCTTAATGCTTTCCTACGTCATAGTGGTAGTAAAACATATATCATCACGTGACTCCAAGTTAACTTCGATATGATGGTTATTATATCAAAATACAGAATATTTTGTAACAAATGATGCGTCCTCTCTTTCAGTGTCGAACTGCATGTAACTGCGTTGACAGTGATTGATCTACAAGTAATTTTGCATGCGTGCTGGACAACCCCAGGCAATAACAGTAACCTAGTCAAACCGCACGCTGACCAACGCGAGGTAAGTAAAGCAAATGATAACATAGAATCAATTAAAGCGTAAACTTGGATGTTGTCCGACTGCCTCTCCCTCTCAGTCTCCCTGGTATGCGTCTGACCTGTTTGAGAGCAGCCTTGGTGGCCTGGGAAGACTCAGCGGCTGAAGCCCTCATGGGGGTGGACCTGGTGGGAGGGGGGAAGGAGGGCCGGCTGGGGGTGTACATCTGGGGGGCTGCCTCCTGTGTAGGACCTGGGAATAAGAACATTTATAATCCTGTCAGCATATCAAAGATCAATTAATTTATCTAAAGCTCCAAAGGCCCAATAAATAAACATGTCCATGTCTTTTTTTGTTGTGTGTGAAGGTAGGCTCAATGCACATATCATTGTCGTGGTTAGGGTTAGGTTGAGGGGTGGTTATACTGCGGTGGTTGAGGTTAGGTTTAAGTTAATGAGTGTTTACAGGGCGTAGGTTGGGGTTAGGTTGTTATATGGTTGCTGAGAGGTTCACCTTGTGGTGGGAGGTTGAAGCCGGTGCTCTGGGACAGCAGGATGCGGTACATGTCTCTCTGGCGGCCGTTGGAGTCAGCCAGCTGCTTTTGCTGGTTCCTCTGCTCCTTTATAATCTCTAGCTCCTTCTGGACCTTCTCCAGCTGCTGCTCCAGCTGGGTCACACTACATATACACAGGACAGGATGAATAGAGTTAGTTTTCAGAAATAATTATTTTGTAAAACGCGCTAAGCAAATAATGAAATCTGATTGACTGTATGGCTAAGGGTGAGGAAGTATAGTGTCAAGGGGTTGATAAACGTTCCCTACCGTGCAGACTTGGCATCAGTCTGCTCCCTCTCCATCTGCTCTCCCAGCTCCCGGAGGCGTGCTAGCATGCTCTGGTTCTGCCGCTGCAGCTCCTCCACACTGCGGAAGGAAACCTGGCGCGGGTTGATGATCTCAGAGCTGCTGCTCACGTTCATAGTCTCCTCGCGGACCACCGGGTTGCCACGTGCCTCCTCCAGCTCCACTAGCAGGACGCGCACCTAGAGGGGGCGAAGAAAAGGAGTAAAAACGATAGGAGAGCAAATTATTAAGGGCAGTGGCTCCTATTTTTTTATCCTGGAGGAGCTTCTCTTGATTTTGTTAAGGCAAGGAAAACCAAGACACTTTGATAGCCACCAAGTTATATTACTAAGGTCATGGTAGACACTAAATGGTATACCTGCTGGGACATGTCCTCCAGCTGTCTCTCAGAGTGCTGGCTGTCCTTCTCCAGGGTGGAGCAGAGCTTTTTGGCCTCGTCTGTCTCCTTCTGCAGTCTGTGGATCTCCTGAAGATTACAAGAGATGGAGATTGGTCAATCCAAGCCTCAACTCAGACATTAGCACTGACATGTCTATATTTCAGCTTTGTATCCTCTCCCCTCTTCTATTTCATGTATCTGGATTTTGCTCATGCAATGGAAAACGTTTCAAAACTAAAATGAGCTTTTCTTATGTCTAAGTAGTCCCTCCCTTTTTTCTGTCCGTTTTCTTCTGTTTGGTGCCTAATGAACACGACCCATCTTCAACACGACCCAGCTTCTTCCTGTCAGTTTCTCTTTTCCTCTCCCCCACCTCCTATCGATCCTCTCTCCTCATGTCTTGCCACTCTCTCCCTCCAATCCATCTCTCCATCCCCCTCTTCCGCTCACCATCCTGGCCTGTTCCAGTTTGGCACAGAGGCTGTTCATGGACCTCTGCATGCTCTCATACTCCTCCCGCTGGCGCTTTAGGATGGGCGCCTTCTCCTCCACCTCCTGCACAATCTCATCCAGCACGCGCGTCACACGCCGGTTCTCCTGCTTCTCTACGAGCAACTGGTCCTGGACGTCCACGAATGCGTTGTACAGCTAAGAGAGTGGGATAAAAAAAAAAATAATAATTGTATTATGTTTACTCATTATTCATGACTAAACATTTGCCTTCAGAAAGTATTCATACCCCTTGACTTATTCTACATTTTGTTGTGTTATTGAATTAAAAATTGATTAAATTATCCCCCCCCCCATCATCTACAGACAATACCCCATAATAAACAAAGTGAAAACATGTTTTTTTAGAAATGTTTGCAAATATATTGAAAATGAAATACAGAAATCTAATTTACGTAAGTATTCACACCCCTTTGCTATGACACTCCAAATTGAGGTCAGGTGCATCCAATTTCCTTTGATTATCCTTGAGATGTCACTACAACTTCATTGGAGTCCACACCTGTGAGACAAGATGGCGCCGACAGACATGGTTGCCCTGTTCCTAACTCCTAGACAATTTTGCAGTATTTTTTGTTATTTCTTACACTATTTGCTCAGAATGTTTTTTGCATTATTACCTACTGACGAAAATAACTTTTGGATATTAGATCGGCAGTCATTCACCAGCATTTCGACCAGAAATGAATTTCCTGAATTGGATCCTTTGTTCGTACCCCCCCACAATAAAGTAGATGAGCTCAGGGTGAGGATCTCCTTCCAGAGAAACATCAGGTACTAACTGTTTTACGGCATCATGGCGCTCTCCGGATATACTGTCCCCGTCCATACAGCTAGCGGGGTTCTCCGTACATCACGCGGACAGGAAGAAATAACTATCCGGGCAAAAGGGCAGCGGTGTATGTTTCATGACTACCTACTCATGGTGTGATTGTGGTAACGTACAGGAACTCGAGTCCTTTTGTTCCCCCGATATGGAATACCTCACTATCAAATGCCGACCTAATAACCTTCAGAGAGAATTATCTTTCGGTCATCGTCACGGCCGTATATATTCCCCCTCAAGCCGACAACGCAACGGCTCTCAAGGAACTACACTGAACTTTGTGTAAACTGGAAACTGCATATCCTGAGGCCGCATTTATTGTAGAAGGGGACTTTAACCAATACAAGTCTAAGCACTGTCTAAGCCCGTGGAGGGGGGGGGGGGGGGGTTCTACTAAGCTATATGGAATTGTTTTAAGAAGGTCATACCAAGGATCATTTAGCTATTTGATTTTAAATTTGAAGACCCCTTGAAAAAAATATATTTGGGGGGGGGGGGGGGGGGGCCTTACTGCTATTAGCCCATACAAACACATTGAACAACAGATTCACTACATGGACCGATAGATAGACAGATAGTGCCCACCAAAAACATATCAAAAATAAGTTTGTTCTGAAGGGTCTGTCCTATATCTGAGAGATATAAGAAAGAAACATTATTATTATTTGTTTTTTTGTACATGTATTTAACCCCTTATTTTTGGCACTAAACATTCTCCATCACCGGTCAAAAGTTTTAGAACACCTACTCACTCAAGGGTTTTTCTTTATATTTACTATTTTCTACATTGTAGAATAATAGTGAAGACATCAAAACTATGAAATAACACATATGGAATCATGTAGTAACCAAAAAAGTCTTAAACAAATCAAAATATAGTTTATATTAGAGATCCTTCAAATAGCCACCCTTTGCCTTGATGACAGCTTTGCACACTCTTGGCATTCTCTCAACCAGCTTCATGGAGGTAGTCACCTGGAATGTATTTCAATTAACAGGTGTGCCTTGTTAAAAGTTAATTTGTGGAATTAATGCATTTGAGTCAATCAGTTGTGTTGTGACAAGGTACGGGGGGTATACAGAATATAGCCCTATTTGGTAAAAGACCAAATCCATATTATGGCAAGAACTGCTCAAATAAGCAAAGAGAAATGACAGTCCATCATTACTTTCAGATATGAAGGCCAGTCAATACGGAACATTTCAAGAACTTTTAAAGTTTCTTCAAGTGGGTCCCCTGTAGCTCAGTTGGTAGAGCATGGCACTTGCAACGCCAGGGTTGTGGGTTCGTTTCCCACGGGGGGCCAGTATGAAAATGTATGCCTTCACTAACTGTAAGTCGCTCTGGATAAGAGTGTCTGCTAAATTACTAAAAATGTAAAAGTGCAGTCGCAAAAACCATAAAGCGCTATGATGAAACTGGCTCTTATGAGGACCGCCACAGGAATGGAAGACCCAGAGTTACCTCTGCTGCAGAGGATAAGTTCATTAGAGTTTCCAGCCTCAGAAATTGCAGCCCAAATAAATGCTTCACAGAGTTCAAGTAACAGAAACATCTCAACATCAACTGTTCAGAGGAGACTGTGTGAGTCAGGCCTTCATGGTCGAATTTCTGCAAAAAAACCACTACTAAAGGACACCAATAATAATAAGAGACTTGCTTGGGCCAAGAAACACGAGCAATGAACATTAGACCGGTGGAAATTTGTCCTTTGGTCTGGAGTCCAAATTTGATATTTTTTTTCCCAACCGCCGTGTCTTTATGAGATGTGGTGTGGGTGAACGGAAGATCTCTGCATGTTTATTTCCCACCGTAAAGCATGGAGCAGGTGGTGTTATGGTGTGGGGGTGCTTTGCTGGTGACACTGTGATTTATTTAGAATTCAAGGCACACTTAACCTTCATGGCTACAACAGCATTGGGCTTAGTGGGACTATCATTTGTTTTTCAACAGGACAATGACCCAACACACCTCCAGGCTGTGTAAGGGCTATTTGACCAAGAAGGAGAGTGATGAGTGCTACATCAGATGACCTGGCCTCCACAATCCCCCGACCTCAACCCAATTGAGATGGTTTGGGATGAGTCGGACCACAGAGTGAAGGAAAAGCAGCCAACAAGTGCTCAGCATATGTGGGAACTCCTTCAAGACTGCTGGAAAAGCATTTCAACTGGTACTGGGGGACTTTTAGACGGGTCTTGTGAGGCCTGTGGGCGTCCTAGAAAAAAACAACTGACATGTACGTGTTTGTGAGACTCTCACCTTTCCACAGAAGGGTCATAGTGTGTACCCCAAACTGTTAGGACGTTACAGACAGAAGTTGGCAGATCGGCTGTGCCGACTTCAGATGAGTCCCAAGACGCTTGTGGGGGCCGTGGTGCAAAACGGAGAACGCCATCGTGTTTGTGAGAGTCTCATCTTTCCACAGAGGGGTCACAATAGTTTGGACGCTACAGACGATTGTGAGAAAACCCATTTTCGGGATGTCTCATGGTCTAGTTCTGTCCCCTTTCACTGCAGATGCGGAAGTGCGACATCGGTGGATTGAGATGCATCCAATGCTAAAAAACATCTCTTGCTTTTTTATTATACTAATTAGATTTCCGCAGGGGCACAGACATCAACTCTAGGGGGTTAATAAAGCAAATCTGAGGAAAGTGCTGAAGTTTTATCAACACTTCGCTTGCGCTACTCTCTCATCAATAATTATTGACCATTACTACTACCCTTCCGGGACGGCTACAAGGTCCTCTTCACTAAGCTTGTGTCTGAACACTGCCCTGTGGGTCCTGGACTTCCTGATGGTCGGACCCCAGGAGGTGATGGTAGGCAACAACACCTCCGCTACGCTGATACTCTACACGGGGTCCCCACAAGGGTGCATGCTCAGCCCCCTCCTGTACTCCCTGTTCACCTATGACTGTGTCGCAATGCACGTCTCCAACTCAATCATCAAGTTTGCAGACGACAACAGTGGTAGGTCTGATTACCAACAATGATGAGACAGCTTCAGGGAGGAAGTGAGGGCCTTGGCAGAGTGGTGCCAGGAAAATAACCTCTCCCTCAAAGTCAACAAAATGAAGGAGCTGATCGTGGACTTCAGGAGACAGCAGAGGGAGCACACCCCCATCCACAGACGGGTCCGCAATGGAGAGGGTGAAAAGTTAAGTTCCTCGGTGTGCACATCATTGACAACATGAAATGGTCCATCCACACAGACAGTGTGGTGAAGGCGGCGCAACAGCGCCTCATCAACCTCAAGAGGCTGAAGAAAGACCCTCACAAACTTCTACAGATGCACAATTGAGAGCATCCTGTTGGGCTGTATCACCGCTTGGTACGGTAACTGCCCTGTCCACAACCGCAGGGCTCTTTAGAGGGTGGTGCGGTCAACTCAATGCATCAGCGGGGGCACACTGCCTGCCCTCCAGGACATCTACAGCACCCGGTGTCACAGGAAGGCCAAGAAGATCATCAAGGACCTCAGCCACGGCCTGTTCACCCTGCTACAATCTACTAGGCAAAGACGGTACAGGTGCATCAAAGCTGGGACCAAGAGACTTCTCTCTACAGGACATCAGTTAAATAGTCCCCACTAGCAGGCTTCCGCCCATAACCCTGCCTTGAACTTTAGTCACCCGGTACTCAACCCTGCACCTTAGAGACTGCTGCCCTGTGTACATAGTCATTGAACCCTGGTCACTTTAATAATGTTTACATACTGTTTTACCCACGTTAATGCACACTGAGTGTACAAAGCATTAAGGACACCTTCATAATATTGAGTTGCACCCTCTTTTGCCGTCAGAACAGCCTCAATTCATCGGGGCAGGGACTCTACAAGGTGTCGAAAGCGTTCCACAGGGATGCTGGCCCATGTTGACTCCAATATGGACCCCAGGAAGAGTAGCTACTGCTTTTGCAACAGCTAACGGGTATCCTAATAAAATACCAAATGCTTCCCACAGTGGTGTCAAGTTGGCTAAATATCCTTTGGGTGGTGGACAATTCTTAATACAATCATGAAACTGTATACCATGAAGTCCAGGGAACTGTCCATAGATCTCAGAGATATAATTGTGATGAGACATATCAGGGCAAGGGTATAGAGCACAGTTTCCAAGAGCACAGTGGTCTCCATCATTGGAAATTGAAAAAATATGGAACTACCTAGACTCTGGTCATGCGACCAAACTGAGCAACCGGGCAAGAAGGACCTTGGTCAGGGAGTTGACTAAGAACCCAATGACCACTCAGACAGAACTACAGAGTTCCTTGGCTGAGATGCAAGAACCTGCCAGAAGGACACCAGTCTCTACAGCGCTTCACCAATCTGGGCTTTATGGGAGAGTGGCCAGACGGAAGCCACTCCCGTGAAAAAACACGACAGCACGCCTGGAGTTTGCAAAAATGCAAGTGAAAGACTAATCATAAGGCAAAAGATTCTGTGGTCTGATGAGACAAAAATTGAACTATTTGGCCTGATCGCAAACCACTATGTAGGGAGAAAACTAGGGCGCAGCTCATCACAGGTCTAACACCATCCCTACCGTAAAGCATGGTGGTGGCAGCATCATGCTATGGGGATGCTTTTCAGCGGCAGGGATTGGGAGACTGGTAAGGATAGAAGGAACAAGGAATGGAGCCAAATACAGGCAAATCCTTGATGAGAACCTGCTTCAGAGTGCAAAAGACTAAGGCGTCAGCACACTTCAGTTGGCTGGCGCCTAGCCAGTGTGCTTGCATACTCCCATAAAAGTCCTTCGCTTGAAAAATGAGAAATAAATAGTACTGTTTGTCCATTTTGAGACGCCTTAGCCAGTATACACTTCCTCAAAAGTTAGAATTAATCCAAGATAACTCAAGAAATCTGTCATTAATTGACGTTTTTGCAGAGATCTTAGTCGCACAATTTTACACGTAAGATGTTTGATGCAGTATTTCTCAATGAAGAAATGTGCATGAAAACGAGTCTCCTGTTAAATAACAACAAAGACTATTGAAGAATCCCTACTGTTGACCAATCACTGACGAAGGGGCGTAGACCTCGGCTTGCCTACAGATTTTTTTTTTTTGGGCCAAAGTCCAAAACGTCACAAAATGTCCTCATAATATATGCACAAACTCCTGCAAACTGTTTCGGCTGGGAAGCATGCGGACGCCTTTAGACTGGGGCAAAGATTTAATTTCCAACAGGACAATGACCCCAAGCATACAGCCAAAGCAGCCCTGGAATGGCTTCAGAACAAGAATGTGAAAGTCATTTAGTGGTCCAGCCAAAGGCCAGACTTGAATCCCATTGAAAATCTGTGGAAAGACTTGAAGATTGCTGTTCACCGTCGCTCCCCATCTAACTTAACAGAGCTTGAGAAAATCTGCAAAGAAGAAATGGGAGAAAACCCGAAATCCAGATGTGCAAAGCTGATGCAGATATACCCAAGACGACAAAGCTGTAATCGTCGCCAATGGTGCTTCTACAAAGTATTGACTCAGGGGTGTGAATACTTAAGAGTTATGTATTTCATTTTCAATAAATTTGCTAAAATATCTAAAAGCATGTTTTCACTGTCATTATGGGGAATTGTGTGTAGATGGGTGAGGAAAAATATATATTTAATACCTTTTGAATTCAGGCTGGAACACAACAAAATGTGGAATAAGTCAAGAGGTATGAATACTTTCTGAAGGCACGGTATCTTCCAGACTTTTGGACCTTTCAATCTGTTTCATTTCAATGCTTCAGCACAATATGTTAAAATAGGTCATTTTACCTCCATGAACTTCATTCCAGGCTTGACAATCTTGGCCACAGCAGCTGCGGTCGGACACATGGAGTCCAACTCCTCCTCTGTGAGCACTGGCATGCCTGAGGAAATAAACACATAGTTAGACACCTTGTCTTGCAGTATGAGATAATTTCTCAAATAAGCAATTTCAAGTGAAAAAAGGACTGAGGAGTCCAATGTCTACAGATCCAGATTGTAGCTAAAGGAAAATTCCAGACAATACAGATAAACAGTATTGTCCCATACGTCTCTTATCTGAGGCGCGCAGATTGGCGTTCTCCAGCTCCATCTTCTTGATCTTCTCCTTCAGGTCAGCCTCCTGTTTGCCCTTTGACCCCTCCATGTCTGCCAGCTTCTTCTCCATGTTCTGTCTCGCTGTTGGAAGGAAGAGCCATGACATAATTATAAACGGTATATTAAACATTTTTCTATTAGATTTCAGCCAGACCAAAGTTACATTTTCCTATAACATTTGGGTCTTTTCTAAATGTGATATCATTATTTAGATATAATGTATCGATGTTTACACAACAACCATTGGGAATTGGAAACACTAGAGTGAACTGATTTTGTGTAACTATCTCACCATCACCAGCATCCTTCACCAGCTTGTGCAGCTCCTCCACGGCCCTGTTCAGCTCCTCGTTCTTGGACTCTGCGTCTGACGCTGACCCCTAAAGAGACCACACAGAAAAACGGACCATTGGCGAGCTACCATTGTACTACTATGAATGCCTTATATGCCTAAATGTTCACACTAAATATTGTACATAATGCAAAACAGTGCTAAAACACACCCATGAATACTAAAAAACAGTGCTCATACATACTCCAGCATAGTACATTCGAAGAATAGCCAGATAATTACCTTGTACAAGTTGGAGAGCTTGATGTGGGCATTCAGTTCATTGCGGTACTTCTCCTCCATGTTGCTCTGTTGGTCTTTAGCCTACAGTACATATAGTGAAGATGCATTGATAACAGTATAGTTCCTTATCAATAATCCCATTTATAAATCAGTTGAATTTGCAACAAACCTCTTTCAGTTTTGTCATCAGGTCCTCTACTCGCTTCTGCAGGTTCTCACTGCTCTTCTTCAGATTGGTGACTTGGGTTTGAAGCCTTGTGACCTGAAGAGAGTGGGTGGAAGCCACAGGGTGTAAGGTGATAACTGACTGCTCTATATGGTCACAACATTCATACCAAAGAAAGGTAATGCTCACCACATGATTATTGCTAAGAGTTATATTGACTTTTTCTAAGTCTATTGCTTTTGTATACTGCTATCCTAAACCAGATCATACAATTACAGAACTGCCTGGTAAAATTCAAGCATATATAAAACCAGTGGGCCTTGTGGTACAGTACCTCGTCCTTCTTGCCCTCTAGGCTGCACTTGAGCTCCAGGATCTCCTTGCCCTTCTCCCTGGAGACTGACAGCAACTCCTCTGTCTTGGTCTTCAATTCAGAGTTCAGCCACGTGTTCTGGTTCTGCAGCAGCTCCTTCTCCTGCTCCATACGTTTCTCACGGTGCTGGAAATACAATGTGTGAAGTCATTAAGCAACCATTGTAATCAATACAACATAGGGATGATCAGACAGGTGCATTCTCAGAGGCACCCCATCTCAATCTGCTTCTCAAAGTGCTTCAAATACAAACTTGTTATGGTGGCAATGTAGCTAATAAAAAGTTAAAGGCTAGCATGATCTGAGGCTCTGGATTTACTCACCTGAATAGAGACCTCAGAGGACTGAATCTCATCCAGTTTGAGCTGGAGATCTATTTTGGCTGTGTTGGTCTCCACCAGCTTGTCATTGAACCGCTTGACATCCTCTGTGGAAAACAAATTAACATACTTTTACTTACAAACATACACACTTATCATATGGCACAATATCAGGTTAGTAAGACAAACAAATAATTTACAATGAGAACAACTCGCATGTGCCGAGTCCATGTCTTACCGGTGAGATTTTCCACTTCTTGAGTTCTCTTCTCAAGCAGACGAGCCAGTTCCCGCCTTTCGGCCTCAATCTCATATTTGGCTTTGCTCTGAGATAGAGATATGATACATGTTAATGCTCAAGCCCTTCCATTCCCTGAAGTTTGCTGAGAAAGTTGTCTTTCTGCATGCATAATGGTCATGTGGACAAAGAAAGTTATGCATATTCTCACCGGCTGCTGTGATTCCTTCTCCTCTGATGATTCCACATCCACACCTTTCAGATTGTTCAGCTCTTCGACTACAGAGAAAGAGAATATAACACTTAGCCTTTATCTAACCTTCTGGACTTGGACTGTGTGACAGGTGGCATGTCAACATTGGTAGTGTGGAAAACAACGGACTACTTACTGAGTTTGGTATTCTCCTCTTTGAGAGTCTGGTAATCCCGGGTGTGAGAGACAATCTGCTCCTGACTCTCTGCCAACCTCTTCTCAACGTCAAAGTATTGCTGCTCTGTAGGTGTAGTAAGGCATGGGGGATATGTCACACATGGTCAGGCGATAGGCTAGCTCTCAAACACTATAGGCGGCATTCTGCCTTCTCCCTACAATTGTCAGCCATTAGCTTCGCCCATGCCTACCGCATGTGAACTACAATCTCTACGCAGTGTTTTAACATTTAGAAATGTAAATATTCATTGCTTGCAATATGGCTTTCAAAACATATGGCCCTTATCTTTCATCAGCGAGAAAGAATCCTTATACACTTACTGTAGCATTTTTGCACAGATCCATAAAGTGCCTCCAGCCGACGAAACTACACTTCTCGAGTTAGCTTACACACAGGCGTTCGAATCATGCTAGATAGCAAAGGTGGTCGCCTCTTGATTGGCCGGCGTGTGGGAACATTAACCCAACCCTGTGTATCAATTTAATCTTTATTTTGATTATTTCTCGCTGATATTAAAGATAAGGTCCTTATGCTTTCAAAACCATACTGCAAGCGACGCGTGTTACTGTTCAAAACGTAACAAAACTCCCTGTATAGAAGACGCCTTCATCGAATGAATCTTATGTAATGGAACAGAGTCATGATCAAGGGCTAGCGATACAATGTAGGTACAACACATTGACATGGGAGGCAATAATATGATGTAGCTAGCTGGTGTATCTAACGCTAGTATTCTAGACAAGAATGAGCAACACTGGAAATATTAATGAGAAACGTATACGAATTTGAGGATGGGACATTGAATGAAACGTGATCAGTGTCAGTTTAGTCACCCCTACCTAGAAGGTAGCTGTAGCTAGCTGGCTAGCTAATGTTAGCGTACTCACTTCACTTATAACGCACTTGCAAAACAAGCATTGCACTCAACCAGCTACAGTAGGGTCTGTACTACTGCCAGCTCAGGCTATACTGTTGTGGTAGCTTATAAACAAGGCCAGCTTCATAGACTATTAGCTAACTAGTAAATATAACCAGCCAGCTACTAAAGTTATATTGGTTGACATAAATAGCTAACTAACGCTAGCTAGCCAGTGCACCACTTACCACAGTCCGCTTTGAACCGCTCGTGTTGCGTTTTGAGGGATTCGATTTCATTTTTCTGGTCAGTAAGGAACTTTTCTAGTTTATTTTGAGCAGCTTTAGGGAGTTTATTAAGCTCTGTACGCTCCAAGACTTGGAGCAGAACAGCCGCCATCTCCCCACCAGTCCGAAACAGCGCAAAGTAACTTCGTTGGGCTAGCTAGCTATCAGAAAAATTAACCTCGAGTGGCATAACCTACGTTGTCAATAAGCGACAGATAACGTTAACCGCGGAGCATCACGGGAGATTTAGTATATTGTCCAATCGTCTTTCTTCAATTATAAATCTACTGATGTCTTGCCACAGATTCCTTACATGAATACAATGCCAAAAAAGATGCAACACCGTTTCTGGGTGGTCATTACAAAAGGTACGATTTGAATGTATGTTTTTTATACATTCATATAGTGGTTGGCAGGATAATACTTATGAATAATTTTTTAAGAAACTACCTTAATTTTGTTAATAAGTAGGTATGTGTGTGGCAACATCCAAACTTTTTTCAAACAGATATTATCAATAAAACCGTTCCAATAAGGCATGACATAAGGAATAGATACAACATCCTTCTGAAACAAGGCTCGTATAACTCTATTGTTGTTGAATGGACCAAAAGAAAAACAAATATTTCCTACTGATGAGTCAACAGGGTTAATCGTAGGTATGTTCTGAAAGTCAGGTCTTGACACGTTCCTGAAAAATAAAGCAACACCTGAAGGAATGGCATCTAAAACAGTTGCTGCCACACGTATCAACCAAATATTTTTTAGAACGAACACGTTGTTCTGTGTATCAACCAAAGCTTTTTAAATAACTAAACCAAGATAGACCACAGCCCATCGTTTCAAATGGGAACAAATGAGTCATAGTGGCAGAACAAGCAAAGAGGTGGGCAGAGCCAAGTACGACTTAGCGAGATCCTATTGGCGTGTTCTAGTATAATTAGCATATTTCCGTAAGGGAACGCCTACTCTGTGAAGCGCACGTGTGGATTAACTAAATTCGCCTTTGCACTCCTTCTAAACAACGCCATTATTTTTTTGGGCAAAGGGTAAAGTCCACAAAAATTAGTCTACTCTGTTCGTGACATATTTTAGTTTTGTGAACAGAAAACGGTATTGAGATCAAATGTTTCATCGACGAGAAAATGTCGTCCAAAATCCATCTCGTTCCATCTTCTCCCACTGCCGGCCACTGGGCTTCCTCTCGAAACCTCACATTTATACATCCGGTGAAAGATCTACCTCATTGTTCTATCTGTGTTTGAAACGTCTAAACGGGATCCTTGGGACGTCACCCCATTTAAATGTAAACGGTTACGGTACGGTTTGGGTTAAGGTTAGGTAAGAAGAGTAAAAGTTAAAGTAAAGGTATGAGTTATGGTTAGGGGTAACGGACAGGGTTAGTGTTTAAGGTATTATAACACCAGATACAATTTAGAGGCGATAGGAATCTCAATGGCCAATTAATGGGAAAAGTATAACGCCCCACCCAACAGACTATTAACCAATCGCGTTCACGTTGTCAGTATACGTCACGCGGTTGTTAAGCTAATCGTTACACAATCCCTTATAAAAGTCAGGTTATTTACGCGTTCAAAACAACTGGGAAATCTCCGACTTCTGAGCGTTCAAAACAACTAGTCTGTCGAAAAAAAATACGTCCGATCGTCAGGTCGGAGCTCCCGAGTTGGATGACCGTTCAAATCGATTTTTCCCAGTCGGAGCTCGTTTTTTTCAGTTCCCAGATGTTTTGAATGCACTGACGTCGGAAGTCGGAGATTTCCGAGTTGCTAGTTGTTTTGAACGCGGCACCAGTTGTCTTGAAAGCACCACGTGTAGAGAAACCTGCCTATTTTCCTCGAAAGTACTTAATGTCACGATTTCAAAACCGTAACAAGTTAGTTATCTCAAATCCTGGAAAATATTTGTAATGTTGAGCTTCTTGTTTACGTAATTCATGCTCATGTTGGGGTTTTGTGCTAGCGCACAATTGACTCCTTGAAGGAGAGAACTCCTGGCCAATAAAGCCCTTTCAATTGAATTGAGTCTCCTTGTCGGAGTGTACCCAGATTGCACCGCGCGGCCCATTGACAACGTACAGGCAACAGACACAGTGGGCGGTAATTCGATTGACGGAGGAGAGATCAGGTGGGACCATTCTAGCCAATGAGTAGACAGATGAACAACAGGCATTACTCTTATTTAAAGTCGTTTTTTCCCCAAAGTTGCCGAAATGCCACGTGCGTCCATTTATATCAGTGTATTTGTAACAACCTAACCATAACGAAAGTCAAAATTGGCCCCAAAAAATGAGGCTTTTTGTCCTAATTTAAGGTTAGGCATAAGTGTAGCAATGTGGTTAAGGTTAGGTTTAAAATTAGATTTTAAGAAGATAAATTGTAGAAATGGGCGGGGTTTAGCCATAATTATGACTGTTTTTGTGGCTGTGTTAATTTGTGACGACCACATTAATTTGCTGCTGGAACTGTTCGTGAAGTAACCACTCGTTAACGGTATAAAAACAAATGTAGGCCTACATTTTAATAAATGTAGGCTGAACTCATACATAAGGATACAATTTTACACCACCGTGCGGTTGTCAAACCTCTAGCGGATTTGTGTTTGTTAGAAAACCACTATCGTAACGTGTTATGCCAGACTGAGCTAGCTAACTAACTATAACGTTAACTTCTGCTGAAAATTATCTTCTGTCCATTAGTTATCTGAAATAATCTACAGTGATATTTTGGAAAATGTCGTGTTTCACAGCTTCTGAATATATGACTTGCAGGGCATCACTTGAAACGGGCTTCATGATTGAAGAGAAAGCTAATGTTCTCTCACTGCCTTTCTCCTGTAGTCAGAATGGGCAGAGGCTACATAGTGGAGGGTGTCGTGGAGAAATGTCTTATTTTACATCAGAAAACATACATAGACAGAATACAATAGACAGGCGCACACAAATTCCAACAAACATCAATGGCATCACACCCATCCCGTTTCTCTCACTCCAACATTCCCTCTCATTCTTCATACCTTGGGCGTTTCCAGTGCTTGTAACACTATGCCATATGGCCTCCAATTGCGCTATTCAATTTTTCTGACAGCCAATTTTCTTACCCCGCTTGACTTTATAGCACTCCCAGAAGGCATGAATTATTAAGTAATTCTTAGTTTTACACTTAAGACATGACTCTGCCATTGTGCTGTATAATTTGTGAATGTTGTTCTCTTGTATAATACATTTTATACATTCGTTTATACTGGATTAAGTGTACATTTTCGTTAACTGTAATTTCGTTAGTTATGTTCCAACACTCCCTCCATCTTTTTGTTGTTGTTTTTTTGGTATTTTACACCCTTTTTCTCCCCAATTTCGTGGTATCCAATTGGTAGTTACAGTCTTGTCCCATCGCTGCAACTCCCGTACGGAGTCGTGCGTGATCTGAAACACAACCCAACCTGTCCGCACTGCTTCTTGACACAGTGCCCGCTTAACCCGGAAGCCAGCCGCACCAATGTGTCGGAGGAAACACCGTACACCTGGCGACCGAGTCAGCGTGCACTGCGCCCGGCCCGCCACAGGAGTCGCTAGTGCGCGATGGGACAAGAACATCCCTGCCAGCCAAACCCTCCCCGATCCTGGACGACGCTGGGCCAATTGTGCGCCGCCCCATGCGTCTCCCGGTCGCGTCCGGCTGCGACTGAGCCTGGACTCGAACCAGGATGCAGTGCCTTAGACCACTGCACCACTCGGGAGGCCCACACTCCCTCCATCTTGTGCCAATCAATATCTGTTATTTTTCATTCTTGGTTCCATTAGTTTCTATTTTTTCCTAAGAGATTGCCAGTAAAATAGGCTCTCTGCAAGGTTTTGTATACAGTTGAAGTCAGAAGTTTACATACACCTTAGCCAAATACATTTAAACTCAGTTTTTCACAATTCCTGACATTTAATCCTAATAAAAATTCCCTGTCTTAGGTCAGTTAGGATCACCACTTTATTTTAAGAATGTGAAATGTCAGAATAATAGTAGAGAGAATTATTTATTTCAGCTTTTATTTCTTTCATCACATTCCCAGTGGGTCAGAAGTTTACATACACTCAATTAGTATTTGGTAGCATTGCCTTTAAATTGTGTAACTTGGGTCAAACGTTTCGGGTAGCCTTCCACAAGCTTCCCACAATAAGTTGGGTGAATGTTGGCCCATTCCTCCTAACAGAGCTTGTGTAACTGAGTCAGGTTTGTAGGCCTCCTTGCTCGCACACGCTTTTTCAGTTCTGCCCACAAATGTTCTATAGGATTGAGGTCAGGGCTTTGTAATGGCCACTCCAATACCTTGACTTTGTTGTCCTTAAGCCATTTTGCCACAACTTTGGAAGTATGCTTGGGGTCATTGTCCATTTGGAAGACCCATTTGCGACCAAGCTTTAACTTCCTGACTGATGTCTTGAGATGTTGCTTCAAGATATCCACATATTTTTCCTTCCTCATGATGCCATCTATTTTGTGAAGTGCACCAGTCCCTCCTGCAGCAAAGCACCCCCACAGCATGATGCTGCCACCCCGTGCTGCACGGTTGGGATGGTGTTCTTGGGCTTGCAAGCGGCCCCCTTTTTCCTCCAAACATAACGATGGTCATTATGGCCAAACAGTTCTATTTTTGTTTCATCAGACCATTTCTCCAAAAACTATGATCTTTGTCCCCATGTGCAGTTGCAAACCGTAGTCTGGCTTTTTTATGGCAGTTTTGGAGCAGCTTCTTCCTTGCTGAGCGGCCTTTCAGGTTATGTCGATATAGGACTTGTTTTACTGTGGATATAGATACTTTTGTACCTGTTTCCTCCAGCATCTTCACAAGGTCCTTTGCTGTTGTCCTGGGATTGATTAGCACTTTTCGCACCAAAGTACGTTCATCTCTAGGAGACAGAACGCATCTCCTTCCTGAGCGGTATGACGGCTGCGTGGTCCCATGGTGTTTATACTTGCGTACTATTGTTTGTACAGATGAATGTGGTACCTTCAGGCGTTTGGAAATTGCTCCCAAGGATGAACCAGACTTGTGGAGGTCTACAATTTCTTTTCTGAGGTCTTGGCTGATTTCTTTTGATTTTCCCATGTCAAGCAAAGAGGCACTGAGTTTGAAGGTAGGCCTTGAAATACATCCACAGGTACACCTCCA